AAGAAAAAGCTATTGGCGCAATTTTTTAAATTGACCAATCGGAATATTCTTCATAATTTCTGATGGGTGAAAAAAGCATTTTTTCTGAAAAAGTTGATAAAAAGTATTTTAAAAAAATAAATAAGGCGAATTTCTTTTGTAAATACAATTTAAAATTTTGCGTATAATCCACCGTTTCCGGTGTAATGCGTTTATATTTCTCGCATTTATACCATGCATATAATCTGTGGATTCTGAGACAGGAAATGAAGATTTACAAATGAAGGAAATTACATGAAAGAAGGACTTCCGCATTTTAGTTTCTATTTGTGTCAAAGTTATCGTCGTATGATAACAAAGTATATAGTCAAATAAGTGTGTGTGTGTATAATAGTCATTGGTTCCAATCAAATATATCTCCAGTTGAATACATATATTCTATATATATATTTGTGAGAGGACACAAGCTGTCAGGAAGTAGATCCACTTACGCTCTAAGAGAAATGACATATGACACAAGTGTTATATAAATCTATTATAAAGTGTAGACACTGAAACGCGCGTGTCGATGAAAGTGTGTGAAAAAAATCTTAAATTATATTTCACTTCAAAAAAGAAAAAAAATTTTTTAATTCCTCTAACTGTAAGAGGTTTTTTTTTATTCATGATATGAAAAGGGTTTCTTTTTTTATTTTTCTAAAAGAAAAAATGATTTCAGTGAAATTTCTTGCAACTTAGTATTTTTGTAATATATTACAAAATTACTAAGATATTACTTACAATTAGTGTGATAAGAAAATATATGGAAATACACATAAAGTAAAAAGTATCAAATACAAGTAATAAATACGAATCCTTGTAAACTATGAGGGTCATTTTTCAAGGATGAGGAAACCGAACTTTAATTACCTAGAACTGAAATTTTTTCATCATTTTGTTTCCTTGAATAACTAGCAAAAATATATATATATAGTTAATTTGTTGCACAATTATATGTCTCAATTAAAATAACCTCTATACATTAAATATTTTCCACTTATATTTATAAGGAGAAAAATGACAGATTTTCTAGTTCACTAAATTTTTACTTAACGGCATTAATTTGTATTTAACAGAGTTTATATTTAACAAAAGCTACCTAATTCTCTAAAAAGAAAACTTTTATAGTTTTCAAAAAAAGTAAATAACCAAAAAAAAACATATATATCTATATAAAACTCAATTTACAAATTTATTTTTGTCGTGTTGAGATTTTTATTGAATGAAAAAGAGATTTTGCAAACAAGCCTCAAGCGATGCAAATTTAACGCTATATCCTTGGATCACGAGGCAAAAGAACAAACATATATAAGAGATTATTTTACGTTATAATTAGTTGCAAAACACGTTTACAAGCATAACTATAGAAAAAAAGTTATATACTTTTATTCTATTGCCTAATTTATTGTAAAAAAAAATTTAATGAGTCAGAATTTCTGAAAATTACCAAAAATTTACAAAATTTAATTTTTTAATATTAAATAATATTTTTATTTCAACTATTTATAATGATGAACATACATACATCTGCAAATCGAAATTTGTACATGGTGATTCATCATGTCTCAAAGTTTTCGTAAAAAAAAATTAATAAAAATATTTGTGACCATGAAAACTTGTACGTCCAGTTCTTTAAAGTCCCTCGTATATAAAATCAGCAATATTATGAGTCGTATACGAAAAAAAAGTGCCATAAGAAAATGTTTTGATTTAAAAGTGAAGTCAAAATTTTAAATCAGAGTTATTTTGAAATAATAAAAATAAAATGTTGATTTAACCTCATTTAAAGTTATTATCAGCTGGTATATAAAATTTTTTGTCTCGAAGAGATCACAATCAAAAATTGCAGAATTTTGTATTAGAATTAAAGAGTATAAAAACATGTGAGTTGTCACGTACGCAGATGAACTTATATATACTATACGTTTAATAAGCGTTTGCGAATCGTGACAAATTTAGTATAATATAAGTATATGTATAAGTATTTGTTTTTAAACAGGAAAAGTTAATCGAATACATTTCTATTTCATCATTCAATGTAAATCTGAAACATTATAATTCCCCGTTTTTAAAAAAATTCTAATTAATATTTCACAATAATTTTTCTAGAGTTTATTGACCTTAATATATACGGATAGTAAAAAAGAGAGCGATGCACTCGAATATATTTTCAGAAAATAATTTTTGTTAAAAATTTAAAAAAATAAATTTTTAATATTTTTTTCAAACAATAAATATTAGATATTTGTTAAATTTTTTTACTTTTAATTCCACTATTTATACATGAAACTAATTTTGATTTTAATTAAAAAGAATATAGAAATGATGATGATGAGAAAACAAATTATCGAAAATAGATTTCATCACAACGATAAATTATTTACGATACAAGAGAGCGTAATTATACAGGGGATTTTATATATTATAATATATACAATATATATAGAAAAATGTGACCGTTGAAGGAATATGACACAAACATATGATCCAATCTGTCTTTATATATATATATATATAAAAATACGCAATCATCTGTATTTCTTGAGATATTATATCCTCATTTGGTATACTTGTGACTTCATACACTGATACATGATAATTAGTGGTAAGAGTAAACCCCGAGACCTCGGTACAAATAACGCAATCAAAATGCACGATTGTCTCACATAAATTTTCTGATGCTACTGGTATCACAGAAAAATATATTATATATATAATTATTCTAAATTATATAAAGAAGTTCTAAGTGGAAAGAGAATTATTTTTCTATTAATCTTCAAATAATTTTAAGGCGATTCAACCCATTGACATAACTGAAAAGTTGTTTTTAACAACAAATTAAAATTAAAATTAATATATTAAATTTTAAAGATAAATTTCACCATATATTGTCATATTGACTATTTGTTAAATATATTTTTCATTATTTAAAATAAGTGTATATAAAAAAATTATTATTTTTTAAAATGTAAATTAATAAACAAATTACAACCAATAAATTTACTATGATAAAACATTGTATAGGAATTGATTAGACAATAAAATACAGTAAAATTTACTATACTGTAAAGGTAGAGAAAAAAAATTAAAATCAAATAAAAAAAATGATACATATGTGTTATAGATCACGTAGGTACTCAAAAGTCATACACGCAACTTATATATACATAAAGGGGAAGTATAGATGTTCCATAATGAAATGAACACTCATTGAGTATACTTTGATTTAGGAATGAGAGTAAAATATATGACATCACATTTCCATTCAAGGATATGTAAGGTATTATCGAATTTCCACATTGAAACACAATAACGTGAGGTCTACATAAGGACACACGTGTTCGTAAATTATAGTTTAAGTGAACATATAATCGCGTGTCTGTGCTAAAATATGCCCACGTATACATTTTGCGGTGACGATTCTGGACCGTAATCTAGCGCAAGCGCAACCTCTTCATTCACCGTCTACGCCAAAGTTACAAAAAATTCAGGTAGTACCTTTTATAGCATCTTCTATTAAATATGATAGTCATAAAAAAAAATTTTTAATTTATAAAATAAATAAAACGTCATTTCATTCATTACTAAGTTAGTTAATTAATTATTATAACAATAAAATTTTTAACCGAACAAATAATAATTAAGTAAAATCTACTGAAAAATCTGTAACACATATATAGAAATAATTGTCACTATTTTTAACAGATTTTAACCAACTTTAATTTCGTTGAATTCTAAATTCTCTTGGTACAAAAAATAGTAGAATTTGCATAATCCATTTGCTTATGAACCAAATATTATACAATAATACTTAAAGAAATTAGGTGCTGTTATTATTTTAAGAAATATTAATTCCATTCAATTTCTAAAGTGCTTTTAATTAAAAAAATACTTTCGTTAATTTTTTGCTTATGAATCAAAATTTATATATTATACTCGAAATAGTAACAAATCGTTAATAAATAATTATATATCACAATTTGGAAACTCAATAATACATTACGATTAATAGAATAATTATTTTGTCAAATCATTTCCAATGGAATTTCCAAAATTACAATACTTATGCAATATATATATGCGTATATATCAATATTTTTACTGATAAGTGTGCAATATAATGCAATCTAAACGATTTCTTTTATGGACCAAAAATATAACGTTTTTTACGTAATTCTTGCTGCATTGTCTAATTATATTATGATGAAAGGTAAAATTATTTTTAAAAAAGATATAGAATAGTGACGGAATTACATTTACATACATAAACTAAATTTTCGAACCATTTAAAATCTTTTATATTATTTAAATCCTTTAACCTATATTCGTCACATTAAATTTTAATATAGAATTATTACTCTATATTTCACCTCAAATACAAAATTAATCATATTATGAAGGCATATATATTTCAAGACTTTGTTAAATTATTCCGATAGTTTTAGAAAATTTTATTTATTTTTACTCTCGGAAACAGTAAAATCAGTTTTCCTTAATTTTCAATTCTTGTACTAAAAATTTTAAAAAAGTTTCCTGTGGCAGCGGACTATTTGCTGTCACATCAAATTACGTTAGCTAAAATAGAGACAGCGAACAAAATTGCTGTGAGAGTAAATTTCTAAAATTTTCTACTGATATTGTTTATCACAGCAAACTTTTTCGTTGTCATAGCAAAAAATTTAGCTGTGGTTACTAATTTTGATAGATTCGGTATTAAACATTAGTTACCATCTGTAAGCAATTCCTTTTTTTCCGTAAAATTAAAGAAAAATAGAAAATACAAAAGTATTCATTATTTTCAGTATTTTTTCCCGCGGTTACTAACGAAATTAAAAAAAAGCTAATAACGATATGCAATATCTCGAAACAACCTTAGAGTTTGAATAAACCTTGTGTATACCTCAGCTGTGCAAGCGTTCATCGTACCATAAAATAAAAAAAAAGAGAGAGGGGGGGAACTGGCAGCGCACAACCAACAACCACTGTCGGGGATAGGTGCCTAGCAAAAGTACAAGCAACTGCCTTCAGTCGTTGGTTGCACAATGGCGTGCTCGGATCGTGTTTGCTTGTTCTCTTGCCGCCGACGTTTCTGAGCGGAGGTCGGCCCAACGTTGGACCGTTCGTTGCGCGGATATTTATCACATATTGATTTCCGCTTCATTATTCTCCTCCTCAACTCAGAATCCTTCTCACATCAAAATTTCAAATTTTTTTTTGTGTCTCGAGTATGTGTGAGAATTTAAACTAAATCAACGAAGAATAATCAAAAAATCCTTTTTCCCGGGATAATAGTGACAAGAAGAGAATAAACAACAAAAAACACCATCATCACGCACGCAAAATCAACGGTCGCAAACAACGTCTTGGAAGAAACCAACCCCCGTTCAGGAACATAATCGGCATACAATGGTTTTCTTTTTTGGATATAGAAATGACAAATCGACTTAGCCTTTTACAATTAAAAAAGGTAATTTAAAAAAAAAGGTTTTTTTTAACAAGACACACAATGGATTGTATATATCTTATTTTTGACGATGACATCTTTGGTGTCGCAGTTGCTCAGTGCAAAGTGCAGTGACTATCGACGAGTTTTAATCAAGTCGCTTGTTAAAAACCAATATATTGATATTTGTTTATATAGGCTCTCAAGTGTTTTAATAATTAATAATAACTGTCTTCTTCTTTTGTTTTGGAAAAAAATGAGCATCGTCACAAATATGAATCACTCCAAAAAATGCCTTTTGATAATTTTATTAGAATTAATATATTGTGACCTAATCAAACTTTTATTATTATTATTACTCTTACAACAGCATTCATCATATACTCAGTTACATCGTAAACATTCCAGGCGTGACTCAAACCATTCTAATATCAGGAAGTTACTTTTACACTACACGTTTCTAATAACAAATCAATTTTACTTGTATGCTTCTCGTGTAAACAAATTGGCAATTGATTTTATTTGATTTACATATAGAATTTGTTATTAATTTGTCCTTCTTATATCTCAGATGAGGAAAATTACTGATTTTGGTTTTCAAATTATTTGCTTCTGTTTAAATCTAGAGATGTTTTATAATGTACTATGATGTATATTGTATTATTTACAATACAGATTGTATTGTACTATTTACTATATGTATAAGGTTTTACAATTCACCATACAGCTCAGTGGACTGTACATTTTGGTGTTGTAATATTTGCAATACATAATGTACCGTTTGTATACTATTTTCTATACAGATTTTACCATTTAATGCACAGATTGTATAATTCATTATTCAGATTGTACTATTTACTGTACATATTGTATCATTTACTATACAGATTTATTGTACAGATAGTAGCATTTACTATACAGTCCTTTTACAAAGTACTATGTTGTACCACTTGCAACACAATTGTACAATTTACAATACAGATAGTACCTTTTACAATACAGGTAAAATCATTTACAATTGACATAGTGTTATTTACAATACTCATAGTATTATTTACAATACACATAGTATCATTTGCAATGAAGCTTGTACCATTTACAGCACGGTCTGTATCATTGGCAATGCATATACGGCGCTAGCCACGTGGTGCTGCAATTCATTTTTCTCATCACTGTACACAATTTCTACAGCATGTTATAAGAAGTTGCTACACTGTTTATCATATTCAATTACTAAATTCAGATGTATTGTCCAATTGCAACATTGTCAAGGCACACTGTCTAATTGCTAAATTGAATATTATTCAATTTCCACTTTTGTATTTTTTATTGAATTGACTCATTTTGAAAATATTGCACAATTTTTTTCTTTTCTTCTTCTTTTTCAAATGAAGGTGCGAAGCTTTGAAACAAGAGAAACTGGAATAGGACAATGTATATATATATAGATTGTGCTTTATTAAATTACCTAGTATTATTGCATCATTTTTTGTATACGTTGAATTTCATGCAATATTCCTACGTGACAACTGAAGCAGCGCCATTTTGACCTTAACGAAGGATATATTTGCTATCTGCTGTTAACAAGTAATAACTGTTTCGTCATATTAATTGACTTTTGTTAATTTCCTTATATATATTAACTCATTAAGTCACATTAGTCATTTTTCTTTTGAAGAAATTTTTCAAATCAATATATATATATTGTCTTTCTATAAAGGATATCATTATAAAAATATAATGTACCAGTTATTTTCGTGTCGCCAGCCTAAATATTTTCCTAAGGAATTCTCATTATAATTACATTATCTTTATATATTTTTCAGTAAATGAAGAATTAAGACATAATTGTCACGTTTCTTAAAATGATCATCATCAACAATACATTACAACTTCCCTCTTCCTTATTATTGTAGTATTTAATTATTAATTAATTATTCAATTACACAGCGGTAATTGGAATTCCTTGTGTCACTATATGATTGAGAGTAAAACCAATTATACTTGCGGTGCGTGGTATTTTATTATATATTTCACAAAACTAGTTATCATTTAAACGTTCAGTTTTTTTGTCACCATGTATATATGTTTCCTGTTTCTAAATTTCGAATTGTCAGCTCACGATTACAACTGATTTGAGAAAACTGGTTTCAAATATATGTATATATATATTTATAACCGAGATTGCAAAATATTATTTACGGGTAAATAACTAATAGGAACTTGCCTAAGGTTGGGATGCAATCACTATTCTTTGCAATCTTTGAATTGCAGACACACACACCCTGGAGCCTATTTTCTTAATTATTTTTCAAGTTTCTCAATTAATTTTTTTTCGCAAAAGAAATTTTTTATTTTCTCACTTAAGAAATCAATGTTATTTCGAAAATTTTAAAAATTCCTTACTAAATTATGTTTAAATTCCATCTATAATTTTGACATTTGTAACACCCAGTCTCATACCTTTTTATTTGTTTTAAATAAAAAAAAAATTTATTTAGCAAAAAAATTAAATTTTATTTAACAGAATTAAACTTTTATTCAGCAGGAATAAAATTTTATTTATCGCAAATAAAATTTATTTAAAATAAATAAATATTTGTCTCTGATACAAATAGGTACAGCGTTTCTCTGGTTGTATATGAAAGGAGGAAACACCTAGTTTTTTGTATTAATTTTTCTGTGACATTATTAAGTTATTTGAAAGACAATGCAATGATATAATAAGCGATTAACATATTCTCATTTACACGTTCTCGATTACAACAAAATGCGCATAATCATGCGTTTCGAGGCTGGAAAAACTCAAGTGCACAACATCCTGTTGACACTGTCAACTAACACTTATCGAATTATATATAATATACGTTACAAAATTTATTCAATTTATTTCAAATTTTTCTATTGAAAAAATTTTCCAATTTTTTCAATGTAAAAGAATAATAGAAAAGACGAGATATTAAAATGAACGGAGTAAATTATTTAGTATATGTGGAATAAAAAAGATGTAAATTATATATAGATAATATACGTAACGGTCGTTTTGAATTTTTAAATCTCATTTATGCGGGCATCTTATAAAAGTCGTATCCATGACCTTAACGAATCTCCGCCGGAATAAATTGTGTAAGAATGCTAGTGCTCGCTCTGTTGAAATACATACTACTACTTCTGTCTTTTGAAATTGTCAGTGATTCGCCGTTTCGACAAACGAATATTTTAATACAATTGAGGTTTTTTTTTCTTTTCTTTTTCCTCTCAAATGGTTAGTTTCGTTAGAAATAATTTCTGCGCTTTGCCTCCTATGACGACCAAGGTCGATTGCTTCAATGCGAATCGATGACGAAGTATATAGTATATAGAAAAAAAATAATGTTAAAAACCTTCATTTTTATCGATGCCAAGTTCTTTTTTTTGTCGCAAGAAAGACAGAATTTTGTTATTTTTACTATTTTTATTATTATTATCATCATTGTTCAAATTGTCACCTTGATTCTGAAATATCGGAACGATTATACTAATGTATTTTTCAACACCCTTGTTTTCGAGCAATGCTCTCTGTTTCGCAACAACACGTAATAAAAATTACACCAGACTATATTTTAGCATCTTGCTTATATTTAGTTTAATCTACAATAATAAGAAGAAAACTAACTGTTGTGAAATTTTTTTTTATGCTGCCAAAGCAAAAATGTTGATTAACTTTTCATGGAATAAAAATATAGAACTTTGAGATCTTTTATAATTGGCATACTATTTTCAAAATTGAAATTTACATTTTTCGATATCGAAGAAGAAAGAAAAGGCCAAACATTAACAGATTATATTTCATCATAAATTCATTTTTTTCCTCTCTTATTTACAAAGAGGAAAACAAAAAAAAAATATCGAAAAAGTTTGTAGTTCAGAAATTATCATTTCCTCCCAAAAGTTCAACGCTTATCGGTTGAATAAACTTACTCTAATTTTAGTTGACTTATGTCAATACAAAATCCGGATAGCCAAAAAAGTATACAAGATTTTTGAGATATATGTAAAATTATCAAAATTAATTGATATTAAATATTAGGAAAATCAATTATAAGAAGTAGATCATGTATAATAAGGAAACTTTTTAATTTTAAATTTAACAAACAAGGAAAGTATAAAATTCTCAAAAAGAAACCAAATCTCAACACTGAAAATAGTAGCATTGATGAAAAAAAAATTAGAGGATCAAATACAGTTTTCTGTAAAATACTAATTTTGTATAATTATTCAAACAAAAGTAGAATTCAGAATGCATGACGAATGTGGCTTTACTCATTAAACTAATGACTGTATATGTTGACTGTTTCAGGACCTATTCATCCGGGTGACTCGACATTAACGGTCAGTCATCTCTTGAAGATCTCCTTCCGTCCAAGGATTCCATTGAGATTCCAAATATATAAACGCACAAAAGCCACATTTTGCAAATTAATCAACAAATTCACGAAGAAATCTCCTTCATCCTCAAAAATATATAAATATATATATATTATTCAACTTGTTATTTTTAACCACCCAAGTGTTCGTGTTTTATATAACTCAGAGTCAAGAAAAAATATTAATTTAGAAGTGAATTTTTTAAAAATACATCATCACAATCATGGTGATTTAGTTAGATTTATTTTAGTTATAAAAAGAAGAAGAAGAAGAAGAAGAAGCATTAAGGTTGTGAAAAAGGAATACAAAAAGAAGTGTGTGTTGTGTTTTGTGTGAACTATTATAAGTTCGCGCAACATGAGAGTGGCTGTGAGTAGACAGGATCCCTATCATCTTCAAGTGAGTCGTACAGGTACTGGAAAATTTCTAGTTAGAAATTACCAGGATGTACCACAATCGAAGAATAGTGAAGAAACACCGGTTACACCAGTTGTATTCTCAAGTTGTGAACCAATTAACACCGATCGTCAAGGACCAACGATCCTTGGAGATCGGTTCCTTCTTCTTGATGCAGCAGCTGAAGGTAGCGCACTTTATAAGTGTGTCGATGTGAAAACAGGCCAACAACTTATTGCTAAGGTCAGTAAATTTTATCAAAATTTTGACTTTTAATTACAATTTTAAAATCTGTATTTTGAAAACATACTTTTTCGAATAGTACAGATTTAATATAATCAAAATTGATGATTATCAAGATGAATCGCATATAATTAAATTATTATTATTATTGAATCATACAATTAAATTCTTTGATAAGTGTGTAATTTTATTGATTGATCTCGTTATATGAGCAAATATATATTTTTTTAATTCACTTAAGGATAAAAAGGTTTTTTACACGAATTGTTACTATAGAACTAACAAATCTGATCTATATTAATTAGATTTATTCCTTTTTCTCCGAGTATACCTATATTAAATCAATTTTAAAATTTTATTTTAAAAAAATTGTCTTTCTTTTTGTATGGGAATAAAATGAAATTCAAATTTTTTAAATGAGGAAAATATATTTCTTATGTAAAGAATAATTAATAATATTCCGGAAATTATTAGTATTTCTATGATGAAAAAATTTTTGAATGTCGTCATACAAATATTGCAACATACATAAAATAATGGGAAAAGTTAAATTTCTATATCGAATTATACAGCAGAATTAATTATTTCACACGTGAACTAATATAATTTTCTAAATAAACAGAAATTTAAATAGATAAAAAATTTAATAGGAATTTAGTTTATTTAATCGATGTATAAAATTTCAAGTACATTTTTATTTATCCTTTAAATGTTTAATAAAATTAAAAATAACATTTTATGATATAAAATTCGTTCTTCACCGAATATTGTATATACGCTTGGAAATTGTAGCAAAAGTTGAAAACGTTCTTTAAATGAAATCTAGATCTAACACACTTTCATGAAAGTTTCTCTCATTTCAATTTTTCCCATATAATTTGAAATTTTATTATTATTATTATTAATAATAATAATTCAAAATTTGATTGTGGTATAATTTGTACCTATTTTTATAAATCGGTACAAAAATGATAATTTAGCAACAATTTGATTTTTGTAATACTAACATTCAAGTTTATGTGAATATTCTATTCAGATTTTTATAATAACAAAAAAGTGGAATAAAAAATTGAAATATATCCATCTGTGATTTAGAGGGCATTTGAAAATGAAGAAAACAGTGTTCCACATTTAATTCTTAAGAAATATGTACTTCAAAGATTCGACCCAAGGTTCAATTTCGCAAGAATCTGTCAAGATTCAAGACCACTCAAGGCAATGTTTTCCTCGAGACAGGCACATGGCACACTTTGCAAAAATTAATTTTCAATTTCAAATGTATATGTATATAAAACATCCAGAAAACAATATTAAATCCCCCTAGGAATCGTTAAACAACTAATAATTTCTTTGCATACAAAATTAAAAAAATAAAAAAAATTTTTTCATAAAATTGGCTTAATCTCAGAAATGTCAATAAAAATTTAGTAAAAGAATTTCAATAAGAATTTGTACCAGGAAAATATACTTTGTTTAAGTATTGATTAAATCAAGAAGCTCTGTGGGTTTTTTTTATATGAAGAACTGTAAAAATAGCCGCTAAGCTAAATTCACCGGAAGATAATCTCGGGCCTCGATTATTATTATTGCTTTCAAAGAAGGAACAGGATGTTGCTATTGAAGATATAATAGAGCGTTTAAAGAAGAATCACTGCTTCCTTTTTTTAAAGACAAGTTTAAAGCAATTTCAACAAGGAGGTATTCCACGAACCTTAAAATTTGATTTTATTAAAAGCCACTCAATCGTTTACCTCATCATTCATTGTTACTTTATGCTGCATTTAACATTTCAGCCAAATTTATTTATTTACATTATGTTTTTACATCTATATAATTTATTTATTATTCAAGTCCTTTTTAAACAAAATAGTTGCAACTAATTTTTAATAATAATTAATTTTAGAGCTTATTCATCTGTCTTGCTTTCATAATTCAATACTATATTTTTCAACTAAATAAATCCAGCAGCGGATAACAAGAAAATGATAGAAAAAAAAACGAAAATTTGTTTAGATGAAAAATTCTTATCACAGGTTTGAAATATGTAAGATGATAAAAAAAGATAATGATTTCTTTCTCTCTTGCTTTTAACATGTTGAAAAAATTTTTTATCACAAATTTACGTCACCATCACATTTGTGTGTGTGTGTGTGTGTGTGTAAAGAAAAGCATAAAAAATTCTAGCTTAATCAATAATTCTGATAGTGCCCTTTGTATTTTGGGCAACATAGACAGTTGTCTGAATGATTCAGAATATAGGGGCTGTAAAAAGGGTCTTTTGATTTTCCTCCTCGTGTGTGAGTCATCGGTTACAACCTGTCATTGTAATCTATTCTCAGAATCTGAAATTTCCAAATTCAACCCCCGAACAACGTTTCTACTTATTTCCAAGGAATGGAGCCCTAAATTAGGAATAACAAAGAATTTAAAGTTATAGAAACTTAACGGATTGTAAATCATCAATTGAAATTTTAATACTCAAGGTACATACTTTATGATACTTAAAACAGGTACTTAAAATAAGTAATTAAAATATATAGTTTTCTATTGATGAAATATGTATATGCATTTAATAAAGTAAACTTTTAATTAATGGATTGAGAATAGATTCTGTATACTTTTTGATGAGTAGCTGATTTATGAATTATTGCATGATTTTTTTCTCTATTTGTATTTAATATGTACATGTTGATTTATTTCAATACACTACATTTTTTTGCGGAAGTATTTTGCTAAAGTTGCAACGTTTTTCATTATAAGAAGTTATACAATCATATCACTTGTATATATGTATATACAATGAAATTTCTTACATCATTAATATGAGGCTGCACCTCTTCTCATATATATTGTGAACGTGTAATATTTGAAATATCATCAAATCATTTCCATTCAATTTATCGTTATTGCTATATAGCAATCTTATCAAAAATTTGAAAAAACAACTTTCTTTTTGGGTTAGAAGACAAAAAATTTTTTCTAAAAATTATTATATTGTACAACAGGTTATAATATTGTAGGATCAAAATTCAAAATGTTACTTTGTGTACTATATTTTTAATTTGTTTTTAAAATTAAAAATATAGTATACAAAATAACATTTTGGATTTCAATTGTAGAACATTAACAATAACATTATTAGAATTGTATGTTTTCAATATAACAATTGTTACGAAAAAGTTTCTGACAAACTGACTCCTTTTTTACATGTTTTTTTCATTTTATAAATTTTTGAATATTGCCATACGATGTATATATGTAATTGGAGATTTGTCAGGCCGCACGCAATGCAAATACAATATTTAAATAGTGTTCAACAACTGTTAGTTCAATTTCGCAAAATACATATATATTATTCCAGACCCTTATTAAATTTATTTGTAACATTACGAAATTGTAAAATTGGCCTCGGGATTTCGACACTGAAACTCAGCGCGACTGTGAGAGTTTCAAAATCAACTGCTTCGATTTCGATTTAATTATCTCAGTTTGCTGATGTCTGATGATGATGTAGATTTACGAAACAGTTTGTAGCAAAAAAAAATTCTAAAAAAAATATATTTCTATCTTCTAATAAGGAAAAAAAATTGAAGATAACGATATCAATTGTATAACTAGACAACTTTTTTTTTAAACAAAAGTTGACAATTTTTAAAAGAAGAAGAGATAAAATGACAGCACACGTGATTATTGTAATTTTTAATCATTCTCGTGTCACATAAAGAAAAAACAATTTTGAGATGATAAAAATAATGACAGAATCCCGAAATGAGGAAAAAAATAGATTTCGAAAGTTTTGAAGACCTTCTTTTTTGTTATTAATTTTATCGCTTTTAAAATACATTGTTATGTTCATTTTTGTTTTAATTAATTGACAATGCTTAATTAATAATATATTACGTAATCAAAGCAAGCACAACGAATCATTTTATCAATGATCCAATAATACTTTTCTCTCTCTCTCTCTCTTTCTGCGCTTTAATGGAAACCTATTATATTGTCGGCCGGATGTCTCTAATGACCTTGAACCCCCCGGGGTGGTGTATTTTTTGAGACAGGAAATGAATACACGTTTTTCTATTGATGATTTGATAAAAATTTAAGAACCTGAGACATTATCATTTAATTTCTAGATATAATGAAAAAAAGCGGAAGCATAAAATTGGCATTTGTCTCAATCGATTGCTATATTGTTTTGAATTAAATTAATTAACTAATAAATAAATAAACAAATTAATTAATAAATTAATTAAATTAATAATAAGAAGAAATTAATTATTTTAGAAATAGAACATTAATTGAACCAATAGAGCAATAATTTTACTATAATAAATTATTTTAATTATAGATCAATAGCGATCGATATCGATCAGTAAATTTAGTGTCAAATCGATAATTTTAATAAAATATAGTATAATAAGTCAATGACTTTGGTAATAAATTTGTATTACAACATAATATAAATATATACAATATTATAAATATAAACACCGTTGAGAAATACAAAATGTTTTACTAATTCGCACTTGTTCAAATAGAATTTATTTAAATATAATAGATAAGTTTTTCAACTTGATATATTTATAAAAAAAAAAATTCTACGTTTAAAAGGAATAGAAAAAATATTAGAATTTTATTTTTTAAAACAAGATATTTGCATTTTTAGTCAAAGTTTGATATAAACCAGAACAGAAATTTAACACGATTCAGTAAAAATTCTGTTCAATGAAAATTTTTGTTAAATTAAAGTTCCATGAACTAAAGAAATTTCATTTATTCAAAAAATGGAATAAAATGCAAATTTATTTAAATGTAAATTGAACTTGGAAAAATTTCTATACCAATTATAAATTGGACATTTTTTCTTGTTAATTCATAATAATTTATTTTTTCTTAACATTTTGTAGTCGAAAATATTTCAGTGTGAAATTAATTTTCGATTGCTAAAATAAATATTAATTGAAAATATAATTTTTCGTTTTTTAGGCATTGACACCGGGAGATAAGGTTGATGAAGCACTTTTACAAGCGCATTTGCGACTGGATGGTACTGGAGCCACAAGTGAAATAGCAGGTGTGGTGGATGTACCAGGAGGTCGACGATACCTTCTCCTCGAGGGTCACTACGGCGACCTACACGCCTACGTGAGGGCGCGTAGAAGGCTACGGGAACCGGAGGCACGGAGACTTTTCCGTCAAGCCGCCAGGGCTGTAGCCAAGTGCCACGAGAAAGGAGTTGTTCTCAGGGATCTTAAACTTAGGAAATTTGTCTTTACCGATGAAACGCGGTAAGTTACAAAACAAATTTATATCCTTTTTGTAAAATTTTAATTTTCCTTTTAATTTTCCCTGTTTGCAATGAAAGAGAAATAATTTTTCTACTCAAAAGGCCCAAAAATTTAAAAGTTTGTATAAGCACTGGAATTCTTTTTTGGAAATAACCTGAATGACAATAAATATTTTTCTTGTCCAATGTATTAGTCGTCCATTATTTTATACGAATGTAATAAATTTCTGAATCTAAATTAGTCAAAAATAACTGTTAAATATTGACATATGTTTTGAAAAATAACCGGAAATACGAATCCCCTTGAGATATGGAATCTGTGGAATTAAAGTTCTAAAATACAACATTTATTTAAGTTTAAGGTATTTGAACTTTTTCCTGTATATAAGCAGACACACGTATATATGTATATATATATTTTCGGTCAATTTTGGTTCCTCTATATATTCTGATTCGTGCTTGAAAGTTAAAAATATTTCGCGCACATAAGCATTCCAATTTTCAACACTAAAAAGTTAATTTTGTTTTCTACTTTTCTTTTCACTTATTTGACAAAAATAAATGTGGCATCGAGACTAAATCTAAAGTAATCGAAGAACACAAAAATCTTGAAAATATCACTTATAGTGATCTCTCTAGACCTCGGAGTAAGATGTTGTCACGTCAAAATTTTCTTAATATTAAAAATGCAGAATTTCTTTAAATTTTCGAACAATATGCAACAAAAGTATGTGAATAGTGCCCAAGGAACTTCAGGAAGGAAAAAATATATGTAATATTTGCAATATGAGAGAAAAGTCTTATAACAACATTTTGCCACCTTGATAAAACGGGTGTGTGTATATGTCGTGAGTCCGGTCTGGTTGTCTGGTTGGCCAATCGTGTCTTACACTCGCATTCCTGTTGCTCGAGAGCTCGTGTGATTGGAACGAGAGAAGAGATACCAGAGGAGATGGAGAGAATGAGAGAGCGAGATAATAAAAGAGAGAGAGAGAGAGAGAGAGAGAGATAGACTTTGAGTTATATGTGAGAATGATGTAGAAGGAGAGAGAGAGAGAAAAGGGGATGTTGCAAGCCAGAAAAGCATATTGGTTCATCGGCTGGGGTTTTGAAACGCTACTCGTATAATTAGGAAACGTATATGCCTCGGTTCAACCTCCTCACGTCTCTCACCCATATTTTTGTTTTTTCACCTACATCGATTTCGAGGGATTCGAAGGACAAAAATTGAAGGATCCCATGTATGTATATAATAAAACACACATATATTTATATCCTTTCGCAAATTCCAAACCTAAGAGACCTTCACTCCATTCTAAAATAAGATATAAAGCGAAAGAATCAAAAGGCCACTGAATACATTAACGGAATATCTACATAATTCTTAATAGAGAGAAAGAGAGAGAAAAGAGCAGAGAAATATTGCAAACGTTTCATAAATTAGCAAATTTCACTATATAATACGAAATATATGTAGTCTCATTGGATACAATTGAAATCGATCCACTTAAGGTCATGTACAACTATACTGGCGCCACCTCAATTAATCCAAAATACAATGAAAAAAAGTTTTGGTGAAATTTATTATTCCGATAATAAATTGTTATTTAACTATTAAACAAATTTTCCAACCTTTTAACCAGTAACTGTTGTCTGATCTGCATCCCTGCTGCTGCTGCTGCTGCTGTTCCCTTGAATCATAACATCTGCTGAAGCACACGCGATTTAAAAATGACGAACACTCTCGAAATAACTTTTTTAATTTAATTTTTAAGTTTAAAAAACACTTTTCTTCTTTATAAAAATCCCTTTTTCTTAATTATTAAACACTTCCAACCCTTTTCACCTGAAATAAAAAAAAGCAATGATTATTTTGAAAAAGGAAATTTTTAAAAATTAAAACTTTAAATAACAATGCAACGATTTAAAAATGACGATGTTAAATACGATAAATGAAATGAAGATTAAAACTGCACCTTCTTACAGAATGCAAGGTTTTAATTCTTAGTCCTGAAATACAAAATGGCAAAAATTTTGCTTTAAAAATTCATCAATTATTAAAAATGTCCGTAATAAGTCGATTTTAATAAAATATTATATAAATTTAAAAAGAATATTTACTATTTATGGCTTTTTATCAGTCAGACCTCTTGGAGCGTTTGAAAACACTTTGTCCAGCGCAAAATTGCGAAAATCATCAACAAAACTGGGAGATAGGTCATAAGTTATTTCTTATATAAGTTGATGTATATACAAAATTACATTTTAAATATAAATTTACTGATATAATATAATTATATTGTGTATATATATATAAAACTTAGAAGATGAAGTTTTATTTTGCAGGAGTATCTCACACACAATTTTAAAATGGAGATATCTCGGAATGTCAAGACTGATAAAAGATTATTGCGGTATGTTATATTATGAAAGTTTTAAACTTGATTAAAATAGGTACAAACGTACGTCTTGTATATTGACAGTGTACTGAGAAATCAAAAAGTTAAAAAAAAATAATTATCGGTTGTTTTATCTCTAATCAGTAGTAGAATTAGTAGTCTCTTTCCACAATTGTGACTTTTTATCATTCTTTTGCATCTCATATGACTTCATCTTTCTCTCTTGAGAAATGATCATCTGTGGCATTAAAGTCTAAGTTGATTTAATTAACATTCACTTTTAGATATATATATATATATATATTCATTCTCAAACGTATTATTATTATAATAATGATTATTCTAATTAATTTTCACATATATTTATATCCAGAGCATGTATTTTCAATTTATTAAATCTTAATTTTTTTGAACATTTATTTATACGAATTTTTATTTGATATAGAATTATTAAAACTACAGAATTACCATTGATCGAAATTTCAAATGTCCGAACAAATATAACCTAAAGAAAAAGATTTCAGTGTTTTAAGAATTATATCGAATAAAAATTTGTGCAAATAAAAAAAAAAAATTATCAATAAAGGGAATAACTAAAATGATAATAATTATATAAAGAAATTAAATTTCAAATGCGGGGATTTAATAATTATTATTCGTGAAAAAAATAACTATTGTAAATTTTCAAGAACATAAGACTATATAATAATTGATTTTGACGAGGTCATTGAACCTCTCTCGCTCAGTGGATTTCGCAAAGCCACACATAGCGATTGCCTCCTAATCTCCACGTCAGCCAGCACCACACGACTATAAGAACATTGGTTAGATGCTACATGAAAGATTACACGAGTATTGTCCGTCGAACCGGATATAATAAAGTATATAAGTAGGTGTCTGGTAATTTCCTAAGGTCATATTTGTGCCACATTATAAAATGCTACAGAGAAAAACGGCAAAAACGCAACTATAACCGCAGTAAGAATTCATTCATTAAATCACTTGATTACATGTATAGAACAAGTTTGTAATGGCAGCGAATTTTTTTTACTACCACAGCAAAGTTTGTTGATACAGTGACATGGAATAATTTTGTCATGGGGTTTAAATTCTCAATTTATTTATTATTATTATTAATTATAGTCACTGCTAACTTTTTAGAAGATCTATATAAAAACATTTAAGTTCCAAATTTTTTCAGCAAACATTTGTTAACATATGTGACTAATTATTTTAAAAGAATTTTTTAAACCATTATAAGGTATTTAATTAAAACACATGAAATCCTGTTGCAAGAAGGAAAAAAGTGTCAAAATAGAGGTTAGAAATTATTTATTTTCTAAAGATCCATTTTGAGGACAATTGAGGATGTTCTCCATCAAAGAATTATTATAATTGTATCTAAAATATATAATATACGTTTTCTAAATGAGGCTATACTGGTTTTCGGTCATTGATGTGTCTTTCTTTCACAACCGCGACATCCAAACGAGATCCGTGATAGAACATATGTCCTCATCTTTGGGGTTCTTGAACTCGACTCTTGTGTGTCGATGCCACTTGCGGGTGAAAGTTTGCGAAGAAAGCAATACTCTCAAAACTCTCTCTTTGTTTTTCTATTTCATTTTAGATGATCAAATGATTTACACACACACACACACACACACACACACACACACACACACACTTTCATGAATATTTTGAAACTTTTGTAACCTTCCTACCGAAGATGGAAGTTAACCTTCATTTTTTTTTTATTCAAAATGTAAAAAATTTATATTTTTTTACTAAATTCGAAATTCCAAACAAAGATATTCACGGGGAAAAAAGAATTGTTAAATCTAATAAACGAATTTTGGATATAGAACAAATTCAAATTTTTACTATAGTTCAAATTTACCAGAGAATATTTGAAACTTAAAACATAAAAGTAAATTAAAAACAAAAAAGTATTATTTTAATGAAGAAATCAAGTCAATACTTTGTAAACCGTATTGGAACAAAAGGAATGAATTGTAAAATTTTAACATTTTTCAAAAATTAAATTATAATTTATAATTTTGCTGGGCATAAATTATACATTAATCAAAAAATTATAGAAACCTACTTCAAAAAGAAAAAAGGAATATCTTACGAAAATAGAAGTAAAATTTTCATCAGAAAATATTTCTATATTATTAAATCTTTTCTTTTAAGAGTTCAAACACCTATAGAAATCAGTTTTTTGAGGCTGGTAATATTCGAGTTCAAGATATATATATATATATATATATATATATTAAAATCATTTTTGTTTCGAAATTATAATAAGTCATTGAGATGAGGAAATGAAGATCTAATTAAAAATATGTTTTCTTCTAAAAAGTAGTGTCTAACAGATGCTGTAGAAATAATTTAGAGCAATTATGACTTTTGAGAAAAGTGATTCTCACTCATTCGATATATTTATATATTGCCGACAGAAAATTCCAACTTTTTAATTTGAATCCCAAATAAAATGATTAATATGTATTTTAATTGACAAATTGTGGGCCAAAATTTGTTTATACATAAAGAAGTTAAAACAAATTCTTAACGACTAAATTGCAAAAAAAAGCAACGTGGTTAAACAGAATATTACCTAAGATATTACGTATTTTATGCGATTGAAACTTCCGCGTTTGCTGCTTGATCGACATATTGAAGCATAAGTGTGAATATCAGGGCCGCAAATTTATTAAATTTTAAATTTTGAATCAATCGTCAAAATTTGAATTGAATTTGATTGTCATTTATAAATAATATAATAAATTTCTGTATGACAAAATTTTATTTTTTTTAGTATGATAAAAATTCAGTAGGTATTGAACTTCCAAAACAATGATTTAATATTTAAAAACGAGTACATTTGAAAAAAAATGTCAAATCTTTTTAATTTATTTCATTTTTTTGGGGGGGGGGGGGGGAATGTGCTAAAAGAACAAAATTTTCACATAAATTTTAAATATTTAGAAAAATTTATATATTATACAAAACTTAGAATTTAAATATATATAGTGGAAAATATCTATCCAAGTCAAGGTAAAATTAAAATACTTTTATTTTTTTCTCGTGGTTTTTTAGAGATTAAAATTATTTAGCAATGTGCTTCAAATGTTTTACAATTTAGTATTTTTATAAAGAAAATTTCCCATTTTTTCATAAAATTGTAAAATTTGATAATTATTTTCATTTAAAAAAAAATAATTTTTGAATTTCAAATTATAACCAAATATATTATTCGGCCCTGTAAAAACATACTCTTGATGTCTTTCGTCAGAGATTTCGTTGCCTTTTCATTGCGAGTGGCGGCAGATTTACCAATGCAACGGTTTATGACGGTGTCTCAATCGCGATGCTCTTGCTAAATTAAATACTTTACTGTCCCGCTTCTTCTCGAATAAACAGATAGTAAACACACACACACATATTTACACACTTTAGACACGTGTTTCGACTATAAGTTGATTATCTTTGAAATCATGCTCAAATTAGGCCCATTATTTAAATAACTTCCTATATATTATAGGAATATATTTATTTTCATTTTCTATTCTCAGGAAATAGACAATTTAAGTGCCATGAAAAGCATCCTTTTTCTTTTCTTATTTCTGATAATTACATTTGTTAGCTTTGTTATAAATTCATATTAAAACTATTAAGAAACTAAAGCAACGTTGTTTCGATATTTTATATATTATATATTTCGACACGTGAAGAAGAACTTAAAAATTTTCAAACATTATTTTCCGAATTTTATCAAATAGATTGCGGTCTATTCTATTCATTTAGAATATTTCTTTATAAAAATGTATTTTTAATGAAGTTATTTCAATATATGTGGAAATTTATAATATACATATTGTTTCGTGAAGACATGACCTCGTATTGATCAGTAAAACACGATATAATAAGTAGGTCTCTTTGTGTATTGGTACACACATATATAAACAGATCAAGGTTATGATTAGGACAATGGACAGTATAAAACACCTTTTTTAATTAAAAAATAAAAAAAACGAGTTTTCAAGGTTAGAGGGACATTGAATTATTGATCCTTAGCGTATAATTTTTGTTAGGACAAATTTTTTGAAAAATATTTAATTCTGATTATTATTTAAAAAATTGCACTAACCAAAAAATGCATATTTAATTCTAATTAATGGAAAAAAATAGTTTTAGGTATAATCTCATGTAATCATATGCAATAATTTTAATAAAAACTCTGATGCAATTTTATAAACTATTGCAATTTCATGCAATCTCTTGCATCCACTATTGTTTTTGTTATTGCGATTGCAATTGAATGCAAGCATTAAATAGATAATTGTTTTTAAAAAATGTTGCATTTTGAAAATAAAACAAAAAGATTTCAGAGCGATTTTTAAAATTTTCCAATCAAAATTTAACAAGAAAATTGTGGTTTGTTGTCGATATTAAAAATCGCGCCAAAATCTTTTTCTATAGATTATGTTTGTTTGGTCATTTGCAATTTCGGACAAATTAAAATTCCATAAGAATTCCAGGCTATCCTTAGTTGTTATTAAAACGTTGAATTCTGTTTTTTTTTTTAAATTTCTATAAAAGAAACTTTTCCCCGCACACATATATATTTTCTATTAATAACATTGTACTAAAAAAGAAATTTCCTGTATGATTTCAGAACACGTCTTCGACTCGAGAGTCTGGAAGATGCAGTGATCGTGGAGGATTTGGACGACAAGTTGACGGATCGTCGCGGATGTCCGGCTTACGTGGCGCCGGAAGTTCTGTGTTCAGGACGAGCTTACTCCGGAAAGGCATCTGACATCTGGTCGTTGGGAGTTCTTCTCTTTACGATGCTTGTTGGTCGTTACCCCTTTAATGGAGCTGAGCACGCGTCCCTATTCGCTAAAATATCACGTGCCCAATTCTTGATACCAGAAGGCCTTAGTTCTAGAGCACGATGTTTAATTCGCACCCTTCTTAGAAGGGATCCCACCGAGAGACCTGATTCTGAAGATGTTATTCGACATCCATGGCTAACAAGGCCCATTAAATCATCTGGAAGATCATCACACGACCAGCTCGTTCCAGAGCCAATTAATCATTCTCAAGACTGATTTTATCCAAGAGAATTCCACGCCTCAAAACTGCGTTAATTTTCATTCTTTTGAATCAGACGTTTTTTTTCTTTATTCTTCAAAATATAGTTTTCCATCATGGGAAAAAAGACATTTTTTTCAAACTCACAAACTTTTTCTAAAATGAAAAAAGATTTATTCTCTATCAAATTCTCAAATTTTAATCAAAAATCTTTTTTCATTTTAAAGTTTAGTTTTTGTAAAACACATTTTCCCACACCGGGTGGCTTCCCACATGGCCTTAAAATATATTTAAATAAATGCATTCGTATTTTTCTGCTTTGTTGTCGAAAGCTTTTTAAATATAAATTATATAGTATATTAATTATAATTTTTGAAAGCATTGAAATACGAATGTATTTATGAGATTCAGTTTCAAATTAAATATATGCGACCAAAATTATTTTTATAAATCAAAAAAGGTCTGATTTTAAATGATGAAATCTAGCTTTTAAGTTCTTCCACTGACATCGAACTGAAGACATGAATGTGTAAATTCCATATTTACAGAATGAAACTTTTTTTTCTGCGACACCAAAAAACCAAGGAAATCTTTTTCTGTAGTTATTTACTAAAAATTTATTCACTGCATTTAAAAGTTGATATAAAAATGTTTACGATTTAAGGGCATGCCTAAAAATGTAAAAAATAGTAACAATATTCATTTCTAAGGAAAAACATAAAAGCAAGTTATGTCAGAAATCTACTTTATCAACTGTCATATTCATTTCTTGAGTTTTTTTATACACCTCGAATATTTGTCGTTCATAATGTAGACAATTAATAAACTCAACGATTTACATTACAGACTGTAATATGTACAATATTGATTGCAAAATTTACAATACAAACTGTAACATTTACAATACAAATTGTAACCCTTACAATACAAACTGTAATATTTACAATACATACAGTGAAATTAACAATACATATTGTAAAATTCACCATATGTATTGTAACATTTACAATACATAATTATAAAAAATGTAATATTTGCAATACTTTCACGCTTTCTGGAAATACAATTTAAAATACAAGTTGTAAATGATACGATTAATTTTTATTTTAATAATTTGATTAAACAGGCAGTGAAAAATATCCGTTTTTCTAAGTATCAATGTATAACATTTGTTGAACATGCCCTTAATGAACTATTTAAAATTCATAAACTTGATGCATTTTTAAGCCATTGGCAAAAAAAGAAACATCACGTTCTTGTCTTCTGATCTTTGATTATAGTCAAGAAAAAGCGATTGTGCGTAAAACATCGATAGCATATAAAGAAATAAAAAAGAAAAAAAACTTGGAAATTTTTCTAAGTCATTTTATATGAAAAAAAAGATTTTTTTTTCAAGAAGTATTATTTATATATGTATACGAATATCTATATTTATTTTATTTACGTTTTCTTTATATTTGCCCTATGTCAATTATTATTTTCCCTCAGTCAAGTAAAAAATGAGAATGTTTGTAAAATTTTTTAAATTATTTTTTACATTTAATTTAGAAAAAAAGAAATCAATATTTCTGAAAAAAAGAATTGAATTGTACGATAAATTGTAAAATGTCGATGTAATCATATACGCAATCGTTTGTTCAATTAGTCAACAAATCGTATAAAGTCATATACGATTTTTCCTATTCCGCGTCAATATTTCTATTTAAAAGAAATAATTTTTTTTTGAGCAGACATTGTTTGCGAATAATTTTATATATGTTTAGTGATATGTGGTTTAAATATCATTGATTTTTTTCTTCTTTTTTTTGAAAAAAGTGCCACTTTGTTGTTCGACAAACTGATATCGTCGAATTAATATATTGTGTAGACTATTTGTATGCAATCAACTACTGGCTTTTATTATCACTAGATTTAAAATACCCGGTGTTTAATATTTTTCCAATAAATATGTATAAATTGACTTGTTTGTAAATTTCAAATTAGAATTTAAGAAATTAAATAAAAATGTAAACTTGACTTTTCTAGAAAAATTTACGTGAAAAAAATATATATCTATCTCCTTTTTTGCCAGTAGGATGAGTGTTTCGAGTTTTAAGATTATTGTACATTTGTACATTTGTCACGAAACTGTAAATATATTCAGTTGTCTAAGTCGTACAGTTAGTGAAGCTAATTCAATCCCTGTATGCTAAGCAATAAAACAATGTTTGTGAATGAATTTTAAAACGATTTTCTGTTTCATCCTCCTCACCTCATTATTAGTTATTTTTTATAATTTAACTGATTTTAGATTAATTACTATTAAACAATTTAATTAATTAATTAAATAAATAATTATTTAAACAATAAGAAACTATTTTCTATTATTAATTAATTAAATTAAGTTTCATAAAATTGAAAAACATTTTATTTTATTAAAAAATGTTTAAAGTTGAACGTTAATTTTATAAATTAAAAAAATTAACATATGTAATAAATAATAATTACTATTTAATGATAAATTTTATTAATTTCAATTAAGTAAAATGTTTTACGAGTCAATGAAACTTTTTTTAATTCAATTAAATGTTCATTAAATTAATCACATTCCTTGATGCAATAAAATATTTTTTTATTTACTTAACAAAATATTTTTTGATTCCAAGAAACGCTTTTTATATTAATAATAATTTTTTTTCTATATAAAATATTTAGAAAAAACATTATTTTAATTAAATTTCACAATTAAAATTAATAAAGAAGTGGAAAAGAATCTTTTTTCTAATAAAATTTAAAAATGCATAATGGGTTGCATATAGTGCTGATACAATGCTTTTTATGTTGGGTGAGTGTAAGAAGAAAACACATCTTACAGGCGTGAAAATATTATTTCATTTGTAAATATTAGGTTACACTGAAAATTAAAGGAAAAGAAAATAATTAATTAATTTGAAAATTATAATTTATTATAAATTAATTTAAACGTATACAAGAAATAAGATAATAATTATTTACAGATTTATAGTAATAAAACAAAAACAGACAACAAATATATAAAAAAAAACTTTTTTCTCGATCATTTAAAAATTATGCCGATGTTGATGTAGGAGAAGTGAAATTTGGTTGATTGGTAGATGCAGTTTTAGATTGAAAATTATTATTGTCAACTTGTCCAGTTGTTTCAACTGCATCAGCAGATCTTTCTGGTCCTCTTGCAAGTCTTAAACCTTGTGGTAATAAACTACTACCCCATGAGGAAGCGAGAAGTTGATGCTAAAAAATTAACGAAAAATAATGTTAAAATGCAATTGAAAAATTGGTAAAAAATAAAATGTTATTAATTGATTTTCAATTTTAAAAAAAGGTATTTTAAATAGAATAATCTGAATTTACCAAATTGGTATTAATCAAAACTTTTTTATTTGTAAACAAAAATTTTAATACTTTAATCTCTTCTTGCAGAGAATTTATTTTTAAACGGTATCTAAAAATTCATTTAAAAAGAATTTCTGTAAAATTCGAAATTGAGAAATGAAAATTGATTTAAAAAATAATGATATCATATTAGGTACTTTAATTAATAATTATCGAAATATTTACTTACGACTGGTGATGGTGAAGCAGCACATGCACATTTTCCTGTTAAACCAGCTAATTTATTTTGCCATTGTATTCCTGGGGTTGCTTGTAAATTCAAAGGTTGAAGTTTTGGTGAACTAAACAAATTAAGTGACTTCGCTGGTACATAACTATTTTGCGTTTGGAGAGGTAAAATTTGTATTGCCGATGGTTGACTCGTAATTTGTGGCGATGCAAAACTTAGAGATTGAGTTTGAGGTGTGTAAGGTCGAATTTGATATGATTGTGGATTATTGGCTGTTGATGACGTTTCAATGCAAAAGGATGAAGGTGGAGGAGGTGGTTGTGACAATTGATATACAATTGGAGAAGGATTAGGGGGAATTTGAGGTTGAGATATTTCCACGAATTGTTGTGGAGGAGGCTGGGGTGGAGGTGGAGGTAGATAAACTACTTGTTGTTGTGGTGGAGGTAATGATGGAAGAGAAACACATTGGGCGTATGAAGGTTGAGGTGGTTGTTGAGGTACTTGAATTACTTGAGGAGGAGGTGGTGGTTGTTGTGGAACTTGAACTTGTATTTGTGGAGGTGGTTGTGGTGGTTGTTGAGGAACTTGAATTATCTGCGGAGGAGGAGGTGGTAGCTGTGGAGGAACTTGAACTTGTATTTGTGGAGGTGGTTGTGGTGGTTGTTGAGGAACTTGAATTATCTGCGGAGGAGGAGGTACTCTTTGTTGAGGTACTTGAATTATCTGTGTAGGAAGAGGTTGTGGTGGTGGTTGAGGAACTTGAATTATCTGTGTAGGAGGAGGTACTCTTTGTTGAGGTACTTGAATTATCTGTGTAGGAAGAGGTTGTGGTGGTGGTTGAGATACTTGAATCAATTGTTGAGGTGGTGGTGGCGGTGGTATTACAGGCTGAGATACTTGAATAAGCTGTGGACGATCTTCCTGACAGACGACCATCTCAGGTGTACCGCAATTTACTTCCAAACATATTTTACTTGGATTTGACCCGGAAAGAGAGCATGATTTTTTTTCACGATTTAAATTATCATTTTCAGAATTATTCTCCACTGGATTTAAATCGTTTCTTTTGACAATTTTTGATTTATTTTTCGCTTCAATATTCGTCAATACTTTAGGAATCAATGGTTTGATATTTTCAAATTTGAGAGAACTTTCTTTTAGATTCACGGCTTTTGATAGACTGTCGGCTTTTATGCTCTCGATTGCTGTTCTTTTCTCGACTTTTTTTGTCACTGGTGATGATTGGATTAATGTTAATTCCAATAGAAGGAACGTTAACACGATTAACTTCATGGTTTCTCCGAAACGAGATCTGAACTCGAGGGAGAAGTTCATGAAACTGATATTTCAAAATGAAACTGTTTGGTTTAAATGTATTTCCGATCTTGCTGACAAAGATGAGTATTACACATTTGGGAATAATTTATGTTGTAATATTTTAAACGCCAAATATGCACACGCACGCAGGTGGTGCTTTGATTTCATCATTATTTGTTTGATTGAATAAAAATAATCAATTTGCGTTTATGAAATATTTAAACCACTTTATTAATGAGCGTATAAAAAATAATTTTGTAAAATGATCAATAATGTCAGAAAAAAATTGTTTTCCTAAATATAAAATTGTTGCTTCATTTCGAGCAATAAATAACATTATTTCAGCACTATATGCAAAAGACAAATTACAGTAAAATTCTTAAAAATTCATGCAAAAATAATAATTATACCGGATTTAATAAAGTCACTAGTTAATGTAATGATTTATAATACTTAATAAATAATCTTCAATTATTATTTGTATTATTGATTGTAGTATTGTGTAATATTTGATATACTATAAGAATCTATATAATATTTAACAATACAAAATATGCATATATAATTGCATTACGCTTTGAATTACATAATAATTATGCAATTATTTTCGGATTCCGTTAATTGTACACTTGTAATTTGATTACAATTTGCACAATACAGAAAAATTATTTTTTTTAGTTTTATTAATTAAATTATAAAAAATGTGTCAGTAAATTGTAGAATTAAAAAAAATTTGCTAAAAATATTTTAACAAAATGTACAAAAAAAAAATGGAAAAATAATTATACACCAAGCAGCAAAATTCCTAAGCCACAAATTTGTTTCAATTAAACAAGAAATAATCTGTTTCTTCAGTATTATCAAATAAATATTTATTTACTATCAAATAGTTATTAAATAATTATTATTTGAGTCAATTAAATTGTAGTTATTTCAAATACAGAAATTATTGATTCAAATGAAATTTGTTTGGTTCAAATAAATATTTATCTGACAATAGTCAAGTTACTGAACATATTAAAATTAGATAAATTTTTTTTCACTTTAAAGTTTTGTAACTATTTTTAATCAGATTTAATATCCTATAATATAAAGTTTGAAAATACAAAACTGTCAAATGACTGTCAAATGTTAAATATATCCGACAAATTATAATGTATTTACTAATAATTTACTAAATCATTATTTATGATATAATATTTTCTTGATACTTCTTTTATTATGCACGCACTTAAAATTAGATAGACTATTTTTCATATACCCTATATTTTATAAAACCGAAAATGATTTTTAAATTAAAAAACACGGAAAATCTTTAATAAATTTTTTTTAAAGATAAAGTATCTCGAATACAAACTTAATTTACAAAAATCTTTTTCAGGAACAAAACATTTTTTTATTATAAATATAAATAAACTTTATGCAAAATATATTACATCACGTTTCTTGATGATATATAAAGTTTTGGAAAAAAACGTATTGTATTATATTTGAAAAGATTTATATTAAGCAATTGTTTTTTTCTTCCGGTCTTTGCAAAGATTTCTGAAAATTATTACCAAGATGTTCAATATCAAGTTTTGTAACATAAATATTTTTGCGGAAATTGTCATTATGGTTTTAAAATTGTTATTGCTTCTGGAGTTAATAAAAAGAAGTTTGAGCTTCATTTCATGAATTTTAAACCGCGAACAACAAGACTGTGAACATGATATTCATTTTGGTTTGTTTGATAGCCAATGCAATTATTTGCAATGGACTACCTCAGGATTATTGTAATCGCGATATTGATGCTGATGAAATGGTAGATTGTGATGAAGCAGGAGATGTATTTCAAAATCCTTGGTAAGAATCTACCACTTTTAATATAATTTACTTGATTTCAATAATCGGATACTTGACTATTATCAAATAAATATTTATTAGAGTCAATTAAAAGTTAAATAAATAAATAAATAAATAATTTAAATACATATATTATTGATTCGAATACAGTTTATTTAATTCAGACAAAAATTATTTGTTTCAAATAAATATTTATTTAATAATAACAAAGTAAACGATTATTTGAACCAAATAAATTTTTTTCGGTGTATTATTTCAATTTTTTAATTTTTAACTCAATTTCAATAATTTAATATCTTTTTTTAAATTTAGGTCGTACAGAATGAGAACTGCTCAGGGATATGCTCCATATTCTCAATTATCAATGTTAAAGTGAGTAATCTTAATATTTAACGTAAATTAATAAATTGATATTCTCAGTTTCAATTAATTTTATGTTGCTAATATAATATTACTTTTGAATTTATATTTTATTCTCCAAGTGAAACTATTTTATATTTAAAAACTGCTCCACATAAATTTTAAACTGATTCTCTATATGAAATTATGTAAAGATTTTTTTTATAAAAAAAAGTTAGCAAAGTAAATTTTTGTTAACAATTAATAAAATTAAATTATTAATTAATTATTATTAAATTAAATAAATGAAGATTGAAGTGAAGACGATTTTTTTAAAAATATAATATTGTTAATATATTAAAAAAAGTTTTTACTTTTATAAAATGTTTATTTAAAATAATTATAAAGTTTTACTGAATATTAAATATTTTTTAAGTAATTAAATAATTATTATTAATAATTATTTCGATTACGAAATTTAATTTGCCAAAAAATTCAAATAAACGCATTTAACACAAACATTTTTGTGCAAACTTTTGAAAATAATGAAAATTTTAACTATAATAATTTCTAATATACAGATAAAAATGAAAAAAAAAAATTAAACATAAATATTTATAGAAAAAAAATTATGTTTCAGAAATAATAATGATGAAGGATTTTATGAGAATCAGAGAATGTTAATGAATAAAGCAAATAATCAGTTTCGACAACAAAGCTCCAGCTACATGCCAGAGCCAAGAAATTTGTATCAAAATTTTGTACCCTCAAGAGATTCACTAATGGGATTAAATTATCAACAAAATTTAGCTCCTGAATATATAAGATTTGCGAAACCCCAAATGCAGCCATTTAATAATCCAGGTACACAATAAAATGTGTCTACTCGACATTAATTTTTGTAAAATACGCTACATTAATAATCTTCACTTTATAAATTTCATTTTCAAAAAATTTAATTTCCTTGCATTAAAATTAACTTTACAAAGTTTCATTTACTTACTTTTTTAAAAATTATTATTAGTTCAAGGTACAAAAAATTAAAATTAGTTCAACAATTTTGTTTAATATTCTAGTTAAATGTGTATTTTTATTTATAAAATTTAAATTAACTTAAAATACGTTAAATATAAAAAAAAACAATAAAACTAATTGTAAAATTATATTAAAAACATATTTTTCGCTTATATATATATATATATATATATATATATATATATATATATATATATATATATATATATATATTAATTTGATTTTAAATCATAACAAATGTGCGATAAGTTTGTCAAATTAAATGATGTAATTAATGACAATGATTTCTCAATAAAAACTGATTAAGCATAAATATACTTTATTTATTTTTATTTTATTACCATGTTTCACATTATATCAAGGTCAATTTTTATAAAGTTAAAAATAAACTTAATTTTAAGTATTTTCTAAATTTTCTAAAATTTTTATAAAATAAATAAAGAAAGAAAGAAAATTAAAATATATTTTTATAAAACTGTTGATTGAAATTTTTTTTGAAAAGTTATTTTTAAAGTGAATTTTAATAATTTTTGAGAAATAACCAATATTTTTAAATCATTTCGGAAACTTTAATGTGACATTGGAAAAATATTAAAGAAAAATCTGTAAAAAAAATTTTCTGACTAAAAGAGATAAATTATTTGTAACATTGAAAAGTTATTTCATATTTAAATTGTTGATTTAAAAACAAAAGTTTAGGAATTATTAAAAAACATTTGTTTGAACCTTAAACTTAATTTAACAAAATTTCTTGAAATTAAATATTGTCAAACATTTTTTTTGAAGCTCGTCATTATTATGACTCATTAACAGCATACGATGAGCCTTCGTATTATCACCCAATACTAGATTATTACGGTGGTTACAGTCCTGATGAATATGAGGCAGAATCTAATGACGATTGTCCAAGTGGAAAATGCCCTCAAACACCTTCAGAAGATGTTAAAGAGACAAGTGGAAAAAAATTGAAAAAAAATCATGACAAACGTCATAATTCACGAAAAGAAAAAATTCCAAAAATTACCAACATGGGTAGTATGATTCATGCTGATGAAGTTGATGAAGAACCTACTGATAAAGATTCATGGGGCATTGATCGACGAGAGAAACAAAAAATGAAAGAACAAGTAACAGCGGATGACAAGCTTAAAGGCAAACGATCTGTTGAAAAGGAGAATATTAAAATTTTCAAAGTGAAACAAGATGATTTGGAAAGAATAAAAAAAGATGTGAAACAAATCGATGGTACGACGAATTTAGGAGAAAATAATCCATTAGGAAAACAAACATTTATACATCAAATAATGCATATACCGAAAAAATTTTTTAAATAAATCCAATTTTTCTATTCTGTTAAGTCTTTAAATTTAAAAAAAAGTTTTTTGCATATTGTTAATAATTATTAAAAGTCATCTATGTATTATAAATTCACATATGTTAAGCAAGACTTAAGTAATATTTACAAATTGCATCATCATTTGTGAATCGATGTTGTAAGTGTATATATGATGAAAGATAATTTATTTCAAAATTGATATATTTCTGTACTTGTGCTGAATTAGGGAAATAATTTTTTTTATGTAACTCGATTTCATATTGACATATGCAGAAAAGTATTTTTTTAAAAAATATATTGCAAACCATGCATCAAACTTGTATAATATTTTCATTGATGGACAAATAAATGATTCATTTGGTCTCATTTTTATATGCTCTATTTTTTCTCCCTTCGATATATTTATACTTTTGAAATGTTTTATTTTAAAATTCTTTTTTCATTTTTAAAAATAAAATCTGTCAAATTTTAATTCGAAAATTGAAAATTCGTCTAAAAAATAATTATTTCTCATAAAATACTTTAAAAAACAAATTTTAATTAATGGTTTTTATGGGAAATTCATGCGTCCCGTCACTAACTATAATTTAATACAGAAATTTTGTTATTTTATTTTTTATTTCTCGATAGTTTTTCACGGATTCTTTCTTAATTTGAGATCGCTGAATATGTACAAGGATTTAAAAAAAATGTTGTTAAATTCTTCTTTCTTTAATCATTAATTAAACAAGTATTGTTTTTTTTCATTTAACTCCGGAGGACAAGACAATTTAACTTAATTCTAATCATTTTTTGATAAATAAAAAAACGACTCACCGATCGATGAATCCTACGTCGAAGGCATTGATCCATCTGGGCAACTCCCTTTTTGTTCGTCAAGATTGTTATTTGGACATGAACTGAAAAAATTAAAAAAATTAATTAAAAAGTCTCAAATAAAACTTAACTATTTTTTTGTAAATATTGGTTTTTATGAAAAAAATGTTTAAATACAATAACTAAAATATTCTCTATGTTATAAATTTTTCCATTTTTTTCCAAAAGAGTTAGGGTCAGTTGGGGTAAATGGGGACAAAATCGCTATTTTGCACAAATTACGTAAGTTTCTTCCTTTAAAAGGTAATATAATTTATTTTAATAAATAAATTTTAATATAATTTTCATAAAATTTGGGGTAAATGGGGATAGCATAATTTCTAAGAAGGGTTTAAGAAAAAAAGTTTCCTTAAGTATATTACTGTATTAAGGGATGAAAAAACTTGAAAAAAATTTGTAGTAGATATATAATAGTTGAACCAATTGAAATTTTTTTATTTTTTTTTTATTTCAGTATTTTGTCTCGCATTTCACAGAAAACAGACTTAAAAATCATACCAAATTTTTTTCTTATTCCTTATGACTCCCATAACAGAAATTCACTTGAATTTTTGATTTTTGTTAATTTGGTTAATAATGACAAGCTGTCCCCATTTACCCTGAGTTTTCAAATTTTTGGGGTAAATGGGGACAGCTTGTCATTATTAACCAAATTGATAAAAATCAAAATTTCAAATGAATTTCTGTTATAGGTGTCATAAGAAATAAGAAAAAAATTTGGTATGATTTTTAAGTCTGTTTTCTTTGAAATGCTCGACAAAATACTGAAACAGTTTGACTTTGATTTTCAAGTTTTTCTGCATTGAGCGGTAACTTGAATTATCTTGCTGCCAATTGTCAAGATAAAAGCTTGGCAATACTCAAAACCTCTTGCAGGTGTTCTGAGGTTAAAATATTGACGTTGAACTTAATTTTAAAACTGTAAATTAAGCTCCAAAACCTCTTGTCCCCATTTACCCCAGCTGACCCTATTAATGTTTGAAAATTGAAAAAACCAATGGAGTACCAATTTTCAGATAAAAATTATTTAAATTTAAGAATCAAAATTGAAAACTTGCTAGGAAAATTTAAATGTTCAACGAAAGTACTTAATATTTTAAACAAAATTAAGTTCTAAATAATTTTGATTATTTTTTTAATTTATTAATTTTTGAGTTTATTTTGTTTTAATAAAGTATATGTAAATATAAAAATGGGACAACAATAGATATGCGAGAAAATGTAAAAATAAAATAATTATTGGTTCAAATGCCGTTTATTCAATTCAAATAGAGATTATTTGTTACTCAAGTAAATATTTATTTGATAATAATTATTTATTATTTATTATTATTTATTCAAAGTATACGGGCAGTGCCCATTCGTACAGTGTACTATGATACGATAATCCTAATTTAAACAAAATTAATCAGCCGCGCTAACATTATTGTTCCCATCATACATAAAATTACGCAGTTCAATTATAAACTTATTTAAAGAAATACCAAAAAAGTTAACACTCGTGCTACATTGATTTGCCTCTTTACATAATCTGTTGATCACAGAATTGTTCAAATAGTTAGTTTTATTGAAAGGAATGTGAAACAATTGTTGATGTCTTGGAGATTTTAGGGGTATATGCAAATAAAATAGACTCAGCAATTCTGCACAATTAATTATGCCGTTAATAATTTTAAACAAGAAAAGCATATCGGCGTATAAAAATCGCTGAGATAATAACTGAATATCAAATTTTAATCTTAAGTCTGTGTAGTCATGATTATGATAATCAATTGGTACACCAGTCTGTTTAGCCATAATAAAGTATTTGAGTAAAAAAAAAATTTTTTCATGAGTTCACTAGCAAAATTTTATCCCAAACTGACCAAAGTAGGAAAACAATTTAATATTTAAATATTTGCCACATATTTTTAAAAAAATGGATCAAAAAAATAATTTCAACATTCAAAAAGTACTATTCAAATTTCATATTCAAGTTAACTATCAATGTCTACAATTAAAACTTTTGTTTTAAATTTCATAATGAAAAATAATGACGAAATTAATTTGGATTGATTGCGTAGCTTAGCAAATATAAATCGAATCAAAAATTATTGTGACATACAACATATTCAGCAGAAAAAGTGTGTTGAATTCTTTATTAAATATAATCCAATTACTTGTCATTTTTCAGTTCTTTTTACGATTCTAAGGAGTTCGCACATGATTTCCAAGTATGAAGACCATTGTATTAATCTCATTAATTTTGCAATTCCTTTTGACTTATTCAATTCCAATTGATAATAATACTCAAAAACATTCTTCATTCACATTAAAAAATCAACATGACTCTCCTCAAATTTATAAAAATATTCCAAGAAAAAAAATTAATGAAACTAAATTTAACGAGAAAAAAACTATTTTAAAAAATAAATTAAATCAAAAAAATCAAGTGAAAGAGGAATTATTCGATAATAATTCAAAATTACAATTACTTAATCGTATTAAAAAAAATGTTATTCCATCGGCAACGGTAATTTGTTGCGATACAAATTCTAATAATGGGTACAATATAATAGAAAATTGTAATAACAATCAAGAAGGACAACAAATTTTAACAATACAACAACAACAACAACAACAACAACAAATACCAATACAAATAGGACAAAATTCTCAACAAAATTTACGTGGTTTATTAATAAACTGTTTACTTCCTCAGACACTTTTGGATAATTTACAAAATTCAAAAATTACCCAAGTTCCTGCACCTCAACAACAGCAAAACAACATTAAAGTTTGGACCATTCCAAATGATATCGGCAATCAACAACAATTTACCCAAGAATTCGTTTACCAACAACAACCACAACAACTACAATCTACCTTTTTAGTAAATCCTCAAACTAATAACAATAATTATCCAATAAATTTTGATTTAAATTGTCAACCTGAAGCACAACCCATTCAAAATAATTTGCGAAATGAAGGACTTCAATTAAATAATCAGGCAAATTTATTGTCCAACACCATTGATAATAAAATTTTTCTAAACTGTTTACTTCAAGCTATGCAAAATAATGTAAATCAAAATAATCAACAAATTCCACAAGGCGGTGGATTGCAGAATTTTAACAAAAATGGAATTTCAAATAATCAACAATTTCCTCAACAATCTCAACAACAACAACTTCAACCTCCGCAATATCAACAACAGTTTCCACAACAACCTCAAATACCGCAATATCAACAACAATTTCCTCAACTTCTACAACAACCACAAACACCGCAATATCAACAACAATTTCCTGAACAACCTCAAAATCAACAATTTCAACAAAATTTCCCGTCACAAGGTGTAATTAAACAACCCAATAATCAAGAAAACAGAGGTTTTCCATTAAATTTAAATCAATTTGGAAATCAAAGTATTTTGAATAATGGATCACCATTTAACACAAATCAATTAAATAACACTCAAAATCAACAATTATTGGAAAATATTAAGCAGAGAAATTTCGGAAATAATCAATTTACAAATTTTGGAAGAAATTTTAATTCACGTTTTTAGTTGCACTTTAAATGGTAAGTATTTTATACATATTTAATTTATTATAAATAATAATTGTTGTTTTAATGATTAATTAATTAAAATTTTGATTTTATATAAACAAAATACAAGTCATGATGAAATGTTTTTTTTTATAATTATTATTGTTAATATTTATGTCAAAACCGGATTAGTAAAAAAAAATATCAATCTAATCATTAATTTAAACTTAGGAAAAATTTATATAATTTACATTTATTTAATTCTTAAAAATTACATTTCTGTGAAAAAAAATTATTTATTTATTTATTTAATACAATGGTAAACCTATTAAAAATAATAATTTAAAAATTTTTTTCAGTAAGATGAATCTAGGATCCCTAAAATGCAGAATAATCATTTTCCATACGCATTACGATGTCTAAGTATATAATAAACACATTAAAGAGAATTTGAAACTGATCAACCTCAAGATGGCCATATATTGTTAAATCCAAAGAAACTTCTTAAGATTATGTAATTATAAAACTTCTTTAAAGGTATGCTTGTCAATTCATAAATATGAATGTCTTATATTAATTGAAATTTTTAAAAATAATATTACAAAAGAAAACCAAGTTATGTAATATTTATAAAAATATTTGTAACACTCAAAAAAATATTGTTAAATCAAATATTTTAAAAAAATTGTATTACTTGAAAAAGTCAATTAAAGACAAATTAATTACGTAACAAAGTATTATTATTTACTATACTTTGAAATAAAAATCTTTTAATTCGACAAAATATTCTTTCTATTACAAAACAAAGACAAAAAAAGGTTCTTCTTTTCATACAAATAGTTAATATATATAATTTTTTAACCCAAAAGTATTATTTATATTATTAATTTAATGAAATCGTTTCTTTATTATTTTTTATTATTAAAAATAACTTTAAACTTAATAAGCAAATAATTTTAAACAAATGAAAAGAGAAAGAAATAATTTGTTTCATTGAAGACAATATTTTTTCGAGTGTACAATATAGACAAAGAAATTAATTAATAATAAATTAATTTTTTTTATTTGTATGTGTGAATAAACATAATATATATTAAAGAATGAAAACAATAGTTTCGTAAATTAGATTCGTAGTAATATTTAGATAATAAAAATAGTTTAAAAATTAATTATTATTAGTTGAAAATTAAGGTAATTCCTGTGAAATTATAATAATATTGTTCTGTGTATTTATTTTTAATCAGCGCGCTGATTATAATAATTGTTACTTTAAATTTTCTTTTATAAAAATGATCTTCTGTAAGTCTTTTTCTTAATGTATTTAATACAATTAATGTATTTTTATTTTTGTGTTTAATAAATAGTTTTGTAAAATATTGAGGTAATTTAATAAATTACTGATGTAAATAAGTTATACTGAGAACTAGAAATAAATTTATAGTTTAGAGCTTATATAAATAAAACAAACTTTATAAAAATATAGTATAAAACACGAAAAGATTATTAAAATTGTACCATAATAATTAATATTGTTCATTGAGAATTGAATTCACATTAAATAAAGCAAATTTATATGATTATTCATATATTAACATGAACAACAAAATTTAAGTAAGTTAATTGTACATACACATAAGATTTCTTATGTTCTTTCACGAGCTTTTGAAATTATATTTTTACCACAAAATCATTTATAAATGTATTTTATAACTCATTTATTACGTAAATGACATTAAAATTTAATGTTTTTCTGCTTCAAATAAAGACATTGAGATTATTGTAATAGATAACTGTTTTTGAATTTCTTACAATAACATTTCGTTTATCTACTTATTCTCTTTAAAATTAAGTTAATATTTCCTTTTTGCATTAGAAAATAAAATTTCAACAAGTAACGTTTTTTTTCAAGCACTAAAATATTAAACAATAACAATAATTTTTTAACGGTTCTTTATTATTATACTTTTTAATCTCGTTCATAGATGGCGCTTTTTTTAAAAAACGCGGGAATCCAAATAAGTTTACAGAAAATTTAGCTATATAAAAACTTTCAAGCATTTTATCGTTTAAAACAAAAGTTAAAATTTATACTCTTATTTTATATTAAAAACTGCATTTGTTTTTTTAAATTGGTTTCTCTTTGGCTTACACAAACAAACGTACAAACATTGCATACAAGTGCATGTAACTTGCAATAATGAACAAAATAATCATATTTTACTCTATTATATTAAATATTTTGACGAAAAAGTACCAAAATATGTAAATTTAAAATACTTGCCGAATTTTGTTGCTCACGACGTGTAATTTATATTCACCACCATTTTGTATGATTTTGTGCCAAGCCAACTTTATGTCATTTTCCGTAAAGCAAAAAGGGTGCCTATACCTTATAATTTATTCTTTAACCATAAGAATCACTTGTTTACTAGCTTTATTGTTAAAATAGTTGATTTACTTAAACTTTTCACTGTTAAATGTAATTAATTTGTGGATAGAAACAATCTTTAACTATTAATAATCATAAATAATGAACTTGTTGAGTCGTGCGTAGTTGATATCACAAAAGCGCCAAACTTTCTGGTATTTCCAGCAGATGGCGCCGATGTGCGCGCGAGATTTTGAATAAAAAAATTTCATTTGCAAACAAAAAGCAATTTTTAATTAATAAAACTATCTAAAATGTAATGTATTACTAAACGTGGTAAATAAATATCTTTTTTTATTCCAAATTATAGAAAAAAAGAGACAGTAAACACAAATATGTGGTTCTAATTAGTGTATTTTCGTTTAGCAAAGTCTATGAATCAACCTTTAACTAAACATTGTGAATTGAGCCAAATAACGTTAAAGAGAATTTTCACTCAGCGGTTTCCGCTTCCGTTATCGACCTCCCCGAATTCATTTTCCACCCCGCGTACCCCTCTATAAGAAATTTTTTCGACCGCACCACCATTTTCGATGTATGCGGTGTTGCGTGATTGCCTGCGAGTCCGAGCGTGTGTGTTTGTTGTGTTGTAGAAAAAGGATTGTTGAAACGTAGAGCAAATTCTCTCTACACGAGTAGCGCGAATCTTTTTCCATATATTTGGCGTATTTGTGTCTCTGGAAAAAAAATGTCGTCATACATTCAGGTCGCTGAGGACGAGGGAGAAGAGCCCATTGAACTGCCCACTGAGGATGATAGTACACTCTTGTTGACGACACTCGCAGCCCAGTTCCCCGGAACTTGTGGCCTTAAATATCGTAATCCTGAATCGAGGGCGATGCGCGGCGTCCGTCTTGTTGACGGTCGACTTCATCCTCCTGAAAATGGTTGGGGCAAGGCGGTCTATTTCTGCGTCTTCCCAAAAGGTGAGCTAGACAAGTGGGCGATTTTATATACATGCACAAGCGCACACATAAATTCGTATGTTAAAACAGTTTTTATGTATTGGTGCCGTTCGCAACTCGAACTAGGATAATGTTTACCTACTTTCAGGAAAAAAAATTACTCTTTATTATTTATTTTTTAAACAAAACGCCCAATATTATAAGCTATTTATGAAAAGTAAAGAAAGACTTATTTACTAAATTGCAATTCAATATCCTTCTATTGTGACAAATTTAGCCTTTGCTTTATGTGAAACATTAATTGGAGTGGAAAATGTAGGTAAACGGGAAGTGATTCTAGCGTTTTTTTAACATTTATTCTTTTCACAACTATACGACTCAATTTTTATTATACTTTGTTTTAAAAAGAAAACAGTTTCACTTTTTAGTTACGATATACAGAAAATTGTTTTGTCATTTTTACGAAAAATTATTCTTTTATCAGAAAAATTTCTTTAAAGATTAATATAATTCGTAACAGGAAAATTATAATTATATCTGGCAAATTATGAATTTTTAGGTTATGGATTTTAGTTTTGTAAAGTTTGAAAGAAGGTTTTTTTAATTTTTAAATTTACAGTTTACTGTATATTATTTTCTTGGCGCAGTCAAACTGAGATATTTCAATTTTTAAAAATAGAAAAAAAAATAAATCCCATGGGTATGAAATTGATATTAATATTTGTGCTTTTTTTTAGAAAATAAACGTAAGTCTGATGACAATTTGGAGAATTCGACAGCAAAAACTAAAAGGATGGAAACAAAATTACGATGCACTGACCTAATTGTGCTTGGTTTACCTTGGAAGACAACTGAACAAAATTTGCGAGAATATTTTGAAACCTTTGGAGAGGTTTTAATGGCACAGGTAATAAAACATATACATTTCTTTTTTTCAATCTAAAAAAAATTTGAATTGATTTAAAGTAAAAATTCTTTTTAATAATAGGTGAAAAAAGATGCGAAATCGGGTCAAAGTAAAGGATTCGGTTTTATCAGATTTGGTAGTTATGAATCTCAATTGAGATGTTTGGCACAACGGCACATGATCGATGGTAGATGGTGCGATGTTAAAGTTCCAAACAGCAAGGTAAGAACACTTTTAAAAAAGAAAAATTATTATTTTCCTATTTACCTTCATCACTTTTTATTTATAACAAAAAAATAAATTATTTATGTCCTTTAAAATGAGACTTCTGCATTTACAAATGTTTCGAAAATTTTGAAGTTTTTACATTTTCTTGTTCTCAATTTTTCAAATTTTAGATATAATTTCAATTACTTTAAATTTTTTACAAGATTACTTAAAAAATATATTACAACTCTTCTAAAATTAAAATCTCTATAATTTGTATAATCTCAAAATAATGAAAATTGAAATTAATTTTATTAAATATTAACTTCATAATTCCGAATCATTTGTCCAGATGTCTAATATCATAAAGAAAAAGGAAAAAACAATTAGGTCGTTAAAAAATCCCAAAATTCGTTATTCTCAATTTCTGAAATTCATTTACAGAAAAAGATTTCTTTTACAAAAAAGCTGTTTAATAAAATAAAAAATGATTCCTTTCTTATTTTTATTGCTTGAATTGAAAAAAAAAATTGAGATAATCACGAATTTTGAGAAATATTTTCAAATACCTTTAAAAGATTAATGAGAAAAAAAATATAAAACATCTTTTAAGTGGATAGGCATAAAGTTTGATGTCGATTGAAAGTTTCTTTCTGCTGCGCAAGTAGATGAATGAGACCTGAGCGTTGAGAGACGAGCCTGTGATGAATGGATGAAATCTTAACGTCCCAATGAATGATTAGAATGCGTAGATCGCACGCATGAATTTGAGCGAGTAAAATTTCGAGAGTGCATGCGTTACAGAAAATGTGTGAGATACACGCATGATTTAAGAAAAAATAAAAAAGAATTTTTTTTTAATTAGAATTTTTGATAGAAAAAAAATACTAACTAGGATTCGAATGATGAAAAATAAATTATACTGCGAGGTACTGACATTGAGAAAATATTTGTGCGATTATTTTATTGAGTGATTTTGAAAAAAGAAAACTTACATATATATTTAAAAATCCAAAAAAAAGTTCCTTAAAGAAAAAAGCTATTTGTGCGAATTGTGTGAGTGATATTTTTATTAAATTTTATAGTTCTGAACAGATTTCATATTTTTTTAAAAAGACGGTTCTGTTTCTGATCAAATTTTTATAATGGAAATTAAACATTCATTCACGTATTACCTAAATATTTATTTATTTTATTTTAGAAAAAAATTAGTTTTAAATTTAGAAAATTTTTATTTTTATTGCATTATGATGATAAGTTTAATAATAATAAGTGAAATTAATTTTTTATTTCTTGAGCCCAAAAAATCAAAATTTCTCTTTGTTTTTTAATAAACAAGAAAAATTATTTTTTTAATTCAATATTATAAATGACAATTTTTATTAATGGAAAATTATTTTTCTGTCACGATAATTGGAATTAAAAATTGAAAAATTTGGTATAAAGTTAAGAAGCTCATTCAATAATAAATGAATATTAATTAAAAAATTTAGTTTAATAGTTTGTTCTTTAAAACATCGATACGGATTTGCAGAGAAAAAGAAAAAAAAATTGTTATTGAATTTCCATTGTTAAAATTTTAACAGAGAAAGAAATAGTTGCACTATCTTTATAGAAATTTTTTATTTCTCTAAATATAATTTTAACGAGTTTACAGATATTTTATTTAAAGTGTACCATGTGTGACCGTTAAGTATTTTTAAAAGATTTCTCGTGATGTACAATGTATGGGAGTTGTACGGACTTGATGATAAACGTTGTTTTTTCTTAGCGAAAAAATATTTTCGGAGTAAAAAAAAAGTAAGCGTTTTGAATTTTCCAAGATCTCGATAATATATATATAATAGTGTGCAAATTTATTATGTGTGCTCGATTGTTGTTCGTACTAATTTTTTTACGTTACAAAAAAAACTTTTATTAATCGTCTTTCATGGTACATGTTTACTGATATTTTATATTAAATATAAAAAAAGAGAAGTGTTTCGTATTTGGTCAATTGTTTTCGCGATTTGGTATATAATGGTGAAATTTGGAAATTTTTAGAATGGGGAAAGTTGTGTGTATGCAAAAAAAGTGTGCGTGAGTCTGTGATGTTTAAGTATGATTTCGTAAAGACATTTTACACATCGGCTCTGAAAAAAAATTCAACAATTTCTTTCGCTTGAGATTTGTTTTAAAGTGGAAAAATTATCACAAGGTTGTGTGTTAAATTCTATAGGGATAATGGAGTAATACATTTCGGTGGATGATAAATGTGAATGTTTTAATTATGAATAATGAAATATGATTATTAATTTATAATTGTAATGAATATTTTCAATTATTTTAATTATCAGTTATGAATTATTAATGATTAATTATATACATATATATGAATATCAATTTATTTAAACAGGGTGTCGACTAACCGAAAATTAGGAATTTTATTAAAAAAATATTTTTATTAATTTTTAATTTGTGATTTTAGATTTCCTTTAAGCCGAATTTTATAACATAGAATTTTTATTTAAGCTTTTACTTAACAGAATTTCTGCCTAGATTAATTTTTTTATTGTATATTTTCTTGTTTATTAAATTTTTATTTTACTGAATTTATAATTAACATACTTTTTACACAATAAAATTGTTATTTTGTTCAATTTTTATTCCAACAAATTCTCATTTAATAGAATATCTATTCAGTTCATTTTTAAATGCACAAATTTTTATTTTACAGAATTTTCACTTGTCTGAACTTTGATATAGGATCTAAATTGTCATTTTTAAAACATCGAATTCCGAACAAACATTCAGGAGAAATATTTCGAATTTTTGTAATTAATCAATCGCAATTTTGCGATAGCTATTTTCCGATTTATTAATTTTAAAATTCACTTTGAAATATTTTTTTCTGATATTTGTTCGGAAAACTGTGAATTGAATATTTTCAAAATTCTATCAAATGCCAATTTGTGCAGATAAAAGTTTGTTTTACAAGAATGAAAATTACAAAAAATATATTATTTTAAAAAAATATGTTATCTTTTTTTTTATATTTATAAAATAAATAAGAATAATTTAAAAAAATTATAACCAGGAATTTAGTCCACCAAAAGTAGTAGACACTCTGTTAAATTATTCCGAATATTTATTTTAATATCACAACTTTGGTAGTTTTAATTTAATCGATCTCAATATTTCTGTACGTTCAAATAAGAATTTTTCGGTATTCAATTTCATTTTTGTTCTGATTACAAAAAAATTTCTTTAATTCGTTTAGTAAAAATTTAATTTATTTATTCCGCGAGAATAATAATTGTCATTTGAACGTGTACAATTTTCTATTGACTTTTTCTTAAAGTTCATCTTTTCTTGGAATGGAAATATCTCGCGAGCTAATATTGTCTATAAAAAAAAATAAATAAAAAACAAAAATCGAATCGTGAGTCATTGTCGAGGGCTTGGTGTGTCTGGTTCCAGAATATTGATGGGATAATGATGGCTCGTCAGTATGACAGTAACAAACACAATGAGTACTATCGTCCAATACCTGTTCATGCATCAACAAATCGTCGGATACCAGCGGCGGCAAAACCCTATCCACCAAATGTGAATTCCACCGATACAACAGCACCGCGTTATGATGGCGACTATGATTATAAAACAACGCATTATCCATCTTATCCACCGAATTATCCATACGATGAAAAATTCAAATACGACGGTCAACAAAATTATAATAATTATGAGAAACCAGTTTATCAACAATATGACAATAATACAGGTTATGATGCAAGAAATTATATGGCACCACAACCAGCAGTTGCAGTACCACCAGCACCAACATATCCAACGGAAACTGAATATCCACGATATCCAGGCTACGAGGAACGTCCGCCAACTTATCCTGTGATTGAAAATACCGAATATGGTGATAAAATGAAATACAATTATGGATATGAGAGGCCATATCATGAAACTGATGAGAGATATATACATGCCGATGGAAGATATCAGGTAGATAATCGTTATCCAGATACGAGAAATATTGACAATCGTCCATTGGATGCAAGGGAGGCTGATGCGAGATTCTCGAATGAAGGAAGGGACGAGAGAAGATATCAGGTGGACACAAGAGAAGGTGATGCTAGGTATCCAATTGAAAATAGAGAAGCTGATGCCAGATATCCTGCTGATGGTAGAGAATTGGATGGACGTTTTTCTGATGCCTCACGATATCCCAAGGATAATAATTACTACGATCGTTACTATAAACAGCGGCCTTCGAGGGATCATTATAATTCCGAAACATCGAGATATTGATGAGTGGATAAGATTGAAAAAAAATAATATTGTGTATCAACGGGAAATTCTAGGCTTATAGAAAATTATTAGGGGGTTGAAAAAATTAGTTTTTCTTCTTTTAAAGAAAAAATAAGAAAGCTTCCGTTAAAAATATCTTAATTACTGATGCTCAAGTTCTTATTCTTTTTTTTATTCATCTTTGAAATTGTTTATATATTATGCACTTTAAACATTTTCTTTATTATATAATGAAAAATTGTATTTAATGAGAAATATTCATTTTTCCAAGTCACCGTTTATGTCAATAATTGAAATTTTTTCAAATTTTTAGGTATTGAACATTTTTATTTTAATTTTTATAATCTAAAATATCATTTTTTTGCAATTTTTTACGTTTAAAAAAATTATTTTCAGTGTTTTTAAAAAAATCATCTCAACTATTTTTACTAAATAGAATTCACTATAGCAAACATTGAAATTTGATTTTTAGACAAATAAGTAATATCAAAATGTTCTCTAATTTATAAATATAAAACATTGATAATAATAATTACAATAATATTATTAGGCATTATTTTATTCTATTATTATAGTATATTTTATTATTACTATTTATTGTAATAATGATATTGTGATGTTATTGTAATAATCTAATTGAGATAGCATTATTGTAAACCGTCAAATATTTCTCGCCTTACAAAAATAGTTCAGAATAAAAACAAAATTTTCTTTTCAATTTTTCCTAATTTATAAACTATTTAAAGACACTTAATGATAATTTTTTTCTTTTTGCATCAGTTTGTTAATAAATTTCATGCCAAAATGGTTATAATATTTATATGATACAACTAATGCGTAAGTCGTTAGAAATTAAATATTTTATAAGTATAAATAAAAAAAGATGTATTGAAAATAACGTGAAATGATAAATTTGCAATTTTATATAGTATTTCTAATTTTTCAATTTCCATAAATTAATAATCTATAATAATTCCCTAAATTCTGTGCTTATTCACGTCTCCTTTTTTCAAAGCAATTTTTGATACTTATATTTAAAATAATTTTTTATATCAAATCAATGTGTCTTTTAAAAAAAATTTCTATAATCAATCAATACTACGAAATTCAGTTCTACTCAATACTGTTTGAAGAATATGTATAGAAATTAATTTAAAAAATTAGAATTGTAATTTATATTTAAAACAGTCAATTTTATTAAAGAATTATTTGCAGTGTACTTACATGTAAATGAAAAATATTTTCACAATTTAATGAAAAAAAAAAAATGTAAATCCCCATCGATATTGTATATATTATTATATTAAACATCACACACTGTATCTAAACATTAATTTCAATTTATAATAATTATAATTAGTTAATTATATTAATGTTAGTATGCGCTAGATTTAAAATAAAAGTCATAACCGTTTGGTTATAAACTCATATATAATAAATTGTAGTTAGAAAAAAAATAATTTACAAATCAACAAAATATGTACATTACAGCAAAAAAAAAAAAAAAATGTCATCGATATTTATTGTAAAAACAATTAATTTTCACTGTCCTATTTTGTTCCTATTTTTTTACTAGTGAACTAAATAACTAATAAAATTTAGAAAGTAAATTTCTCAAAAAAATATTATTAGCGTAGTTACAGTGCAAAATAATTGGCAATTGTCAGAAAATTGAATGTTTATACAATTGCGTTAAGGTGGTAGGGAATCGATTCCCGTTGATTCACATTTATCGATATAAAAAGAAAAATATTAATATTATTAATAATATAAATAAGATAATTACTTGTTTGTGTTTCATTACAAATGTATGGAATTTTTTGTAAAATGATTCTAAAAAAAAGATGCATAGTAAAATTGAAAATGTCGTACGTATATATTGTATATATATATTATATGTGTATTATAGGTGTGAAGTCAAACTATTATTGTTGCTGAGTATATTTGTTGCAGTGAAAATTTCTACAACACATCGTAGCTGTTGTCGTATATTTCTATATTTTTTTTTCAAAAAAAAAGAAAACTTTCCGCCATTAACGGGTTCGTGTCGACGCTCCAGGTTTCATTCAACACTTGTCGTAATATTATATTTTTTATGTAGGGCTGGGCAAATTACCATCAAACATATTTTGTCCTGAGAAAAATATTTTATATTTCTATATTCTTCTATATATTTTAGTGTTTGTTAAATTTATTTTTCAAATTTGTTCAAACATTTTTTAACAAAATGGCTTGTTTTGTTGAGTTTAAAATTTCGGAAATAAATTTCTAAATTTTATTTCTAAATTTTATTTCTAAAAAAAATAAATTTTAATTCTTATGAGTTATAATGTTAGGCAGTAATGAGTTATTTTACCTATAATTAATTTTGTTTCTCAGTTTCCATGACTTATTGTTATTATTTACTTCTTTGCGAAATTTCTCATTGTAAACTTTTATCTTGAGTGAAAAAATCTTCGTTAGTTTGTCATATTCTTTTAAAGATGGTATTTTTGTTTTTTTATCATAAAGTTTTTAATAACAATGAGATTCATAAATAATAATTTCAAAACGACAGTAGTAAAATAAAAATTACGGCAAATTATTATTAAATTTAGATAAATTGAACATTAGAAAAAAAAAATTCGTCAATCATGCACCTCATTTGTTACATAAATAAATTTTTTATTTATAACGAATCATTTTTTACAAAGTTAACAATATCATAGAAAAAGGGATCTTTTTTACGATTTTTTTCTACATATTCCAATTATACTTAATTTTTCTGCAAATTTTATGAAATGCCTAGCCCTAGACAGTAAAATTAATTTTCAATTGATTTATAATTCACAATTTAAAAAAAGCAGATCATAATTTCATCTTGTACAATTAAAAAAAATTCATCTGACCGGGCATTGTTAAAAAAAACTCCCGTTTCAAAGTGCAGGTTTTTAATATTTTCCTTTTTTTTATTTATTTTTTATTCACAACTCGAATCCGTTTGATTGATTGTGCGTTTGTGCGTAGGAGGGAATGATTCAACAAGTGCCCTGCAAGGTATTCGTGGGACGCTGTACCGAAGATCTAACTGCAGATGACCTACGTGACTATTTCTCGAAATTTGGCGAAGTCACGGATGTTTTTATTCCAAAACCATTTCGTGCATTTTCATTTGTCACTTTCCTTGATCCGGAGGTGGCACAATCATTATGCGGTGAGGATCATATTATAAAAGGTGTCTCAGTTCATGTCTCCAATGCAGCACCAAAATCAGAGGGTAACAATCGTAATTTCAACAATCAAATGAATTCAAATATGCGAAGTCGGGGCGGTATGCCAGGTCCAATAGACAACAATATACAAGGAAATTATCAAGGCAATCGTTATATTGGTCATTCGGGTAATAATATGGGACCTAATGGTTGGAATAATCCGGGTAATCGGGGCAATATTGATATGCCAAATCTTCAGGCACTTGGTATAACGGGACAAAATAATGGTGGTGGCGGTGGAGGTGGAATGTCAAATCCATTGGCAATGGGAGGTTTAAATCTCTCAGCGTTGCCGGTTAATCCTGCATTAGTTGCCGCTGCATTAAATCAAGCATCATGGGGTTTAATTGGTAATCTACAAAATCAGGGCAACGATCAGGGTTATTCGAATCAACCGGGACCACCTGGACAGCCACCATCGGGCAACAATAGCCTTGGTAATAGTGGTAATTCAGGTTTTCTCAGCTGGATGAATCAAGGTGGTGGCGATGGTAATTCCGGTAATCCAGGCTCCGCTGGTCCTGGCCCAAATAATCCAAATCCATCGCAAGGCGCTTGGCAAAATCATCCCGGCCAACGGGACGGCAAGTCGAATACATTTCTTAAGTACGAGTAAATTCCGTCGGGACTCTGAGTCTACTCGTAAAAGGCGGGCACGGTCCCTGAGTCCCGAAACTTTGGCATTGGATTATTGCAGAGGTCAGGAGAATCATTTTAAATATAAAAAACAAATTGGTCGTACTCTCAAGACTTTGGTAGATGGAAAGACTGCGAATGTCAAGACCAAAGCTGTGTCTTAGGTTTTTTTTCTTGTTTTTTTTTCTAAATATGATTGAGAGTCTGAGAATGAATATTTTGATGATTGATTTAATTTTGAGAATTTGCTGAAGATTAAAAGAAACAAAAAAAAAATAACAATTTAGTCTGATAAATGAATGTTTATATCAGATTTTCAACGTTTTTGAATATAATGATTATGATAAGAATGAGATGATTCTGATCTGTGCAAAAATTTCAAGGCGAGAAAGTTATAAGACATTTTTTTTGTCTTATTGAATTGACATTTTTCGTTGACATGATTCTTTAGAGTGGTAGTATATATATTATATATATATGAATAGACAGGATAGCTGCGATTGAAAGGATTGACGAAAGAAAAAAAATTTTTTTTCCAAGAATGATTATGTCGATGAATGATTCGGCAAATGGAGTGTATTTTGTTGATAATGCAGCAATTGAGAGAATGTTTTACGCTAGAGAAATAGCGTTTAAAAAAAGGTTTGCAACCCGGGTGTTTATATTTTTATTCTTCTTCTTCCCCCCCCCCTTTTTAAAGTCATGTTCCATTATCTCATTGATTTTCATTTCAATTTTTGTTTTTCTTGCAAAAAGAATTAAAATTTACAAAAGTAAAAAGAAACTTCATAAAAAATATTTATGAACTCTTTTTTTATAATTTTTTAAATAAGAATTGAAATTCAATATTTTAATGAATCGAGTTTTTTGTAATTGAATTAAGTAGAATAATAATAATAATTAAACGTCATTATTTTTAATTTACGTGATTAAGAGAATAATTTTAAACAATTTATGAAAAAGTTAATGCAAATCAAAATTTTCACAATAAAACTTTTTAAAAAAATGTAATTTCTTAGATAAAAATTTTGTAATCTGTAATCTCCAGTATTGAATTTTCGATTCGATTTATCTATATCCGGGTTCTAACACAATGATTATTAATCTTAGATTTATTATAATATACATATAAATAAATATATAATACAAATATGAGAGTTTGCACCTAATAGTAATTTTCACAGTTTAATAATCGTTGCTTCATATTTAAAAAAATGAGAAAAAGAAAGTAACTTGAAACGATTTATTATTAATGAATAAAACAAAGAAGAAATATAAAAAATGTAGATTAGGAATGAAGATGTAATGTTTTACTTCACAAAGAGTGTAATCGTGTTTAAATGCTCGGATTAATTAAATCTTTGCAAAATGTTTTTCAGAACGCATTTTTATAATCTTTCGTGTACAGTTTGTCAGTCACCGATATAAATATATAATAATTATGTATTTCTTAAACAAATATTTTGGAGTAATGAAAAAGCGAAATATCTTCATCCTTCATTAAAATTCAAAACTCCAGAATTGATGCAATATATTTCCTCTAGTTTTAATTTCAGTGATTATTTGTTCTACAATTTCTTTCTTTCTTTTTCGTTCACTTTCTTGGGAAATATTCCCCATTGCTTTTTATTTCAATTGGTGTGAGAGTTGAAGAGAATTTCTATACTATAATATTAATAATAATAATAATAATTAAATTTTTAATAAGAAATGTTTTATTTCTTATTTTTGCGCGATTTGAAAAAAATAACAATCGCAGCTATCCAAGAATTATGGTGTGTAACTTTTGACTTCTTTTGTAGATATTTAGTTCTTGTGTATGAAGATTTTACACTGGTGCGTAGGTGTGTCAAAATTATTGATCGGTTGTGTGTGAAAGATAAAAAAAAATAATTGAATTGACTCAATGAGTTAGCTTTGATCGAATGGTTTTTGAATTGATGTTTAAAAGAATTAAAAAGAAAAATACAAAAGCTATTTAATAAAAAAAGATTCATATTTGCATTGCTTTGATATCACTAACAAAAATATTTTTCAGTGTAGTTTTCATATACTCAAAAAAATATAAAACAATTATTTTCCTTTTTGTTTTGTGTTTTTTTTTATTACTAAAATATTAAAATATTGCAAAATTTTTAAATTTTAAAAGAAATTCACAATTCACAATTGTAGTCAATAACTTTAACATACACAATCTCTACTCTTGGAAAGAGAGAAATAAATCTAAAGAAAAAAAATAGCTGTTATATGATATTGTATACTCCATTATTAATATTCAGATTAACTACTTCAGAACTTATTACCTTATGAGTAAAAAAAAATATTGAGAAATAAAATAATCCAGGTAAAAAGATATGTGTGATGTTGTGTGTATCCTCTGTTATAAATCTAGAGACGAAAACGGAAAACTCGAAATGATATTTTGTGATTTCTTTGATAAAATTATTGATATTGTACTAGTTTGATCCCTTTTCTCTGCAAATAATAAAGTTTTGAATTAAATTAATTACATTTTTAAAAATTCCGAATTTCATATATTTGCATTTATCTTTAAATTTAATAAATTTTTTTTTTGAAATTCTTTTCTTGGAAAACTGAATTTTCGAAAAATAAAATTTCAAAATAATGTTGGAACAACAGAAAACAAAAATAAAATATGATAGAATGTTTATAAAATGAAACAATTTTTAGAAAAAACATTTATAAAGTACAATTTTAATATTTCGAAGAAATCACGAGACAAAAGATTCGTCCTTCGATTTTCATCTTGAATGATGTTTATAGAAAATTAAAATAGGAAAAAGCAAGAAGAGTAAGAAAACAAGGGAAATGTTTCATATTAGCTGTAAATGGATAAAAATTGATGTAATCATGGTGATTGGAATTTTTTTTTAATATACATATATATATAGACTGAATTGAATATTATGCATGTGCTTTTGGTGTGGATGTCGGTTGAAAGTATTTGTTAATTGTCGTCTCATAACTACAGACGTAAATTTACATGAAAAATAGTTGGAATGTGCAAAAGGTACAAATGAGAGTACAGTTGGATTACGATATTAAAAAAAGTAAATAAATTCTGTAATATTGTTGAATGATTAATCGAGAGAAGAAAACAAAGTTTGTGTTGCTATTGTGACATTTTACGTGCTTGTGACGCGAAAATTTATTGTGCGTCTGAATTTTCATACTGCCTGAGCAGAGATTGAATGTTTATATTAAAAAAAAAAGAAAAAAAAATGAAAAAAATGGAAAAAGAGAAGTTAGTTTGTAAAACAAACTCGCGTTTGCGGTCTTTGATGTCCAGAATCTCGATCAGAAAAAAACATTTGATTTTCTTTTAAAAAAACGAGATTTTTTTTCTTGCTCTAACTGAAATGATAGAGAAATAAATAGAAGTATCGTTGCGAAGATATTAATACAACTACTTAAATAGTATCTGAAAAATTAGTAAGCGAATAGTAATTAAAATATTAGTGACTGAAAAAAACTAGTAATTGAATACTAGTAACGTAAAATAATTGAAATAGAACAAATTAGTAACTGAAAATAATTAGTGATTGAAAGCTAGAAATTAGTAATTTAAAAAATTAGTGACTAGTAAATGACTAGCATTCCTCGTTCTTTAAATTTAAAAAAAATAGATCAATTTTCAAAAAAGAAAAATTAATTGATTTCTAAAAAGAAATTCTGAAAATTGAATATTTTATTCTTGATTCTGGACGTTATTGCACAGCCAACAAGATAAAGACTGTAGTTTAAGACAACTTTTAACAAAGATAAGAAAACCGTTAGCAATCTACAACAATTATTTTTGGTCCCTTCCAAACCGTTTACAATTTTAAACGTTTGCAAAATATCTAAAAAAAAAAAAGACGAAAAAAAATCTTCCGATTTTTCCATAAAAAAAAATTCACGCGCACTTTTTTTCTTCTGTCTTTCGATTTCATCCACATATGCAATATGTTACATAAAATCGATATATAATTATAAGCTTAATTTAAAAAAAAGAAAAAAATTATATCGTATATATATTTGTTTGATGTGCGCAATATTGCAGTTAAATAGTTATTATAGGATTAGGGAGAGGATAATATCTTTGCTCAAGTTAATGCCTTGCAAAACGATTTGGAAGAGATCGTAAAGGAATTTGTAAATATCCCTGATGAAGTTTCATGTTGGATTATAAATCGAAGCTCGACCGACTAGTAGTTGTAATCGTCAAAAGTGTCTGCGAGGGTAACAGGTGAGGAAGTTGCGTGCTGTATGTATTGACTTTTTTCTTATTAAGAGAGAGAGAGAGAAAAAATACACAAAAAAATCATTAGGGCAATTTTTTTTACTAGCGACAAAGAATCTTGCCCTTTTTAAATATTAATAAAAAAAATAGAAATTTCAGTATTGATCGTAAGTCGGTCGAAAAAACTTGGAAAGTTATTATTTCCTTTTTCGACAAGCATAAAAAAGTGTATAATTTTTTTTAGAAGAACGAGAAAGTTTCTTCAGAGTAAAAAAGACATAATATTACACATAAAATTGTAAATAAGAAATTCTGTGTTGATTCACATTTCGATTTTAATAGTTACCAATAATTAAGTTCACACAAACATACACACATTCTCTTTCCTCCCTGCCTCTCTCTCTCTATCTCTCTCCTTATTACCAAATTTCAGGATGCAGTCTATTACAAAAAATAATAATTTTCAATAAAAATTAAATTATAATTTCTAAATTCGAAAATTTTAGTTTGAAATTTTTACATTAATCAAAAAAAAGATTGAAAATTAATTTTTTCGCGCACAAAAAACATACTTTTTGTTGTATGACTCTAATTAAATTTTAAACATTTTAATTAATAATTTGAAAGATAATTTTATTCGAAAAAAATTTTTTTAATTAATTTATTATATTAAACAAAATAGATTTAATTATTTTTTGTCAATTTTATCTTTCGTAAAAGTTTGTTAATATTATCAAAAAACTAATTCTCATTGTAATTGAAGAAAAATTACAAAAAGAATATTTTATAATTTTCATTGTATTACAAAATTAATTTTCATTATTATAAAATAATGCAGAATCTTGTAATTTATAAATTTAATTTTTATTTTCAAGAAAAATTTCAATTTTATATTTTACAAAGTTTATAAATCACAAAATTATTGTTTAAATTATGAAAGAAAAATTTTGATAAAATAAGATTTATTTTGCATTTTTACATAAAAAAACTAGTTTGTATTAGATTGCGTCAATGTAAAATTTGGAATGCAGTGAAATAGATTTTTGATGCCTAAAAGTGTTCTAAATAGTCATTTTTCGATATGATTTTTCAATATATTATACGAAATATAATAATTATCTGAACGATAACGGTACAAAGTATTATATATATGTTTTGTTGAAGAAAAGTGAGCAGAAAGTAATGCGGGAATGAGATGAAAGAAATTTGCGATTTAAAACAAAAAAAAAGCAAAATAAAAAAAATTATTTATTTATTATAACCGATGTGTTTAAGGTCAACCTGAGTACGTGATATTGAAATAAACAATTTTTTTTACCGATTTCATATATAAACATATATATGAAGAATTTTTCATAGATTGTGCATCGACTGATTTTTAAGCAGGGCATATTGATATTGATATTGATGAAAAAGTACGAAAATAAAAAAGAAACACAGAAGTATGACAAAATGAAATTTCAAGATTTGATCTTGGACACATCCATAGCCATTCAGCAAAGTGCATAATGCATTCGAATTTCATTAATTATATAAATAAACGTGGAATGCGAGTAAATTTGTTCATTTTTTCATTTCATATATAATATATATATATATATATATCTGCGGGATTTACATTTGACCCAATAAACGTTTCTAGATACAAAAAAAAATATTGTCTCTGATAATAATTTTTCATTAAAATTTAAAAAAAAGTAATAATTAATATTATAGAAATTTTATTTTTTTATTTGATTTCTAAAATTTTTTAAACTCTTATTAAAAACAAAAAATTGCAATAGAATTAAAAAAACAAAGATTTGGATTACTCAATAATGGAAAAACGAAATTGTTTCTGTTTTACACTGAAAAAACATAATATTTATTTATACATAATATGCAAATATGAAAGAAAATTTTATGGGTGATTGTTTGGGAGTTGGGGGAGTATAAAATCTACTCAGCAGAACTTGTGAGTTGCGCTTGGAATTGACCTGGGCTTGAAGACTGGAAGTGGAAGTTTATGGAAGAAACAATGCTGACTGATGGATTGGTGTTGGAGTGAACATCTAGGTGAGCTGAAGTTTTGAAACAGAGGATGTGTTGCTTTGACATATTGTGCACCTCCAATCTCTAGGTTGAATTTTCTTTTCATGATGTAAAAAGATTGAATATTTTCACTAATTCTTTAATTTTACAATTGTCCTACGATTTTAATATAACTATTATAATTGAACAAATTAATCAAATTCCAAAGATTGCAATTGCTTTTTTCATCTCTTGGGATTAAAATAGTCTTTTCAGTACTAGGGAGTAAAATGGCCTTTTTCAATCCTTATTTTACATAATTAATTTATATAATTATAATATAGTTAATAATTATTACATTTAAATTCAATAATTTCTTTTCCAAATAGGAAAAATCTAATTAGTAAAAGTATTCTTTCTCTTTACAAGATAAAATGACACAAAGTATGAATGTCTGCGTGCATCGTTTCAGATTTGAAAAAAATATATCCACACTTTTTGGTTTTATAGCGCCCTTAAAAATTGTTACCTTTTTTAAAAGACTACTAGTAATGTTATAAACAATTTTTCGAACAATCAAATATAGAAGATTTAAAATTATTGCAAAATATTTATTGTAACATTAGAAACGAAATTTTGGGTAAAATATAATTGAATGAGGTCAAATAATAATTTATGCTTTTGAATAAATTTAAAAAAATCAACTTTAGATAATTTAGGAGTTTTTTTTAAAAAAGAAACATCCCTGTTATCTACCATTTTTTTGAGAAATTTCCAAGTTCCTTTTAATTAAAACATTAACTGTAGAATCATATAAAATTTGCTAGCTTGAAAAAATTTATAATTTAATTTAAAGTCCAATATTGCTTCATAATTTATCTATGAGCATTAAATTTTCGCCCTACAGGAAATTCCTCTATATTAATTAATATCTGGTACATGAATCTTTTGTTTACAGATAAAATATCTTCATTACAAGCCACCGTGAACACGCAGGGCAGAAATATATATATATAATTATCGAGTTTCCATTGTGTCATTGAAGAAAAATGTAAATTAAAAGTACAAGGCAGCATTCTATAAAAAGACGAAAATACAAAAGAAGCCTTTTTTTGCTACTAAAAAAAGAAAGAAAATATTTTCTAAAAATAGAAATAAGGCACTTTTTTGTATGAAAATTAAAAAATTGATTTTCAAAAAGCATAATAATACTTTTGATTCATTTCAGTATATTTAAACGGTTTATTTGATGCTTGAAGATACATAACATTTAAATATGTTTTGCATAAAGTAATTAAATAAAAATCTATGTTAATGAACACAAGTTCATCAAAAACAGGGTGTCTAGCGATGTCTAATCTTTCAATAATTATTTTTTTTTACTTATATAATGGATTATAAATAATAAGTCTATAAATATAATATAAAACGAAAATACACTAAACAGGTAACTCTTTAAAATAAACAATTCAAAATATCGTCTTTCGAAGGAAAATAAATTCTTTAAATTATTGAAAAAAAGAACTTGTACATTTGTATAAATAACTTTCCTTATGGTCTTTTTTTGACTTTTTATTTCCTTAAATGCTAGACACTCTGGAAATATATATATATTATATGTAGATTAAGAGTGAAAGTTGAAAGAGTTCAAGATTTGTTTACAATAAAACAAATCCTTTATCATTATAGTTTTTTTTTGTTTTACTCTAGGAGCAATAATTCTAAATTGTATAAACTTGTTGTCTTAACGCTACGTTTTTCACAAGTTCAGCATTAATTTGAAATTATTATTATTAATATTATTATTATCATTATTATATTTAAGAAGTCTTTTTATCAGTTTAAGAAGTAGTGTTAAGACGTGCGCGAATTTATCGTTATGCATTTCGCATTTAGAGGCGAAAAAAAACGATTGATGAATTTATTGATACACATTCACTGATTAAGAATGCGCAATTCTTTCGCTGAAAATTTTGAAATTCTTAAACGAATTGATATACAAATCCACCAGGGAATGAGGAGGCATTTTGCGAGAAGAAAGCGTGGAACATTGCATTTTGATCCATGTCTAAAAAATAAGGGCAAATTTATTTCATTTTATTATCATTTTCATTGAAAAAAATAAAATGATTTTATAAAACACTTTAATTTTTTTTTTTAAATTTTCGATAAATAGATAAAAATTTATTTTTAAATAAAAATATTTATAATTAGTAAAGTTTAAACTTCAAAGTTTAAAAGTGACTTAAAATTTAAAAATAGAATAAAATTTAATTTTAAATCAACTAAAAAATTAATCGAAATAAATGTCGATTTATTCGAATAATTGAAAGTAAATCAAATGCAAACATACCTTCTATATCCTCATTGATGTCATGACCATTATCATAACGAGATCGCTTCTTTGGATCTGAAAGAATTCCGTAAGCCTCACCTACTTCTTTAAACTTTTTCTCTTGTTCCTTCTTTTCTCTGTCAGAAGCATTTGCATGACGATCTAAAATTTATATAAGTATTTGCTTTTTCAATATTTTTTCAATTTTTTAAAAATTTAAATTAAATATTTTAATTTAGTCGTTACTGTAATTTAATTAATAAAGAAAACAAAAACAAGAAATATTTTGTTCCAAAAAAAAATTTAATAATTCTAATTTATAATTCTATTTTCATTAAAATGTAAATTTTCAAAATTTTTACCTGGATGGTGGACCATAGCTCTTTTTCGGTAAGCTTTCTTAATATCATCAGTAGATGCATTTTTGTCAATTCCGAGAATTTTGTAATAATCTTTCCTTTGAGATTTTTTCAAAGCGAGTTTAGCCTCCGTGAGTAATCGTTTATTATCTAGAAAAAAATTTAATATATTTAACATGTTAATAAATAAAATACATATAATAATAAAATAAATTAGAAATCGAAATAAATCGATATAAGTAAATAAATAAAAATATTACTTCGAGTTTTGCTCATTTTGTATGCTTTTTCATAATCTCGTACAGCCTCTTCAAATTCCTGACGATCCGTGTAACATTGTGCTCTTCTAAGTAAAGCTTTCAGATAATTTTCATCTAACCTGAGAGCTTCTGTGCATTCTGTTACTGATTCGTTCAACCTTCCAAGCTGATGAGAAAAAAATAATATAAATTACTATTTATAAAACTAAAAATACAAATTTTTAATTCCTTAATAATTATTTCTAATTAAATTCTAGATGATAAAAAGAAAAAATGGTATAAAGAAGTGAATAATTACCTTAGCGGCAACTGTTGCTTTATTAAAATGTAATTTTGCATTTGTTAGTACATTTTTCGGATCCAATAACAATGCTTGAGTATAGAGACTGTAAGCTTCTTCATAACGATTCTCCTTGAAAGCAACATTACCTTCCTCCTTCTTTTGCTTCAAAGATTTTGCTTTCTATAAAAAAAACCAAGTTTAATAAAAAAAATTGTTAACTGTCTAAGAAAAATGAATACTTTGTGAGTTTATAAATATTAATTTATAAAAAATATAAATAAAATAATTAAAAATAAAAAAAACTTACCTTGTAAATTTCTAGTGCTTTGATGTGATCCGGTGCTAGACGAAGCACTTGTTGAAAATGAGTGAATGCCTTATCGACATTGTCTTGATAATATAAACACATGCCACGAACATAAATTGCTTCAACATTTTGCTTGTCAATATGCAAAACATCACTGAAAGAACATTAAAATGTTAATTATCCTATAAAACAAGAAAATGAATTTTCAAGTTTTTTAAAAAAGAAAAACTAACTTTGCAATATCCTGCGCTTCTTGGTACCTTCCTAAAAATGTTAAACATTCTGCTTTTGCTAATTTAAATCTTGTACATTGCGGACTTACGTTACAACAACGATCCATACAATAAACAACCTAAAAAGAAAATTTTAATTATTAAATTTGAAAGAAATTATTAATTTTATAAAGAAAAATATCAAAAGCGTGAAAATAAATTTGAAAAATACTTTTCGATAATCTTTCGCTGCATAAGCTGCTTCAGATTCAACGATAAATCTTCGTAAATGATCAATTTCCATTAATTCGGATGTAAATGAAGCATTTGATGGATCTATCTCTTTTAATTTATTTATTGCAGTTTCAGCGTTCACTATATCGCCGAGTATTATGCTGCATTTCACTATACGGGAGTATGCCTGAAAAATGAAATTTTTTTAAAATGATTATTTTCTATGGGACAAAATAAATTAAAACATAAAAACATGGTAAGTAAAAAATAAGGTTATTTTTTGAAAATTTTTTATTATTACCTTCACAAATTGTGGATCTAATTCGACAGATTTTTGAGCATCTTTTAATGCGTCTCGATAGAGACTCAACATCATGTAACATGCTGATCGATTGCTGTAATATCTTGCTACATTGGGGCATAATTCTAAACAAAAATAAATATAGTTTATTCAAAATCAATATTCAATTTTAGTTCATTAAAAATTATTCCCATATTATTATTAGCTAATTATATTCATTTCTTTCAACTTGACCTACCAATAGCTTCACTGTATCCAACTAAAGCTTTTTTGTACTCCTTTGTAGCGTAAAATTTGTTAGCCTCTTCCTTTTTTAATTCTGCCAATCTGAAAGAAAATAATATCTAAACTAGGTTGCTTCATTATTTTTAAAAAATCTGTAAATATATAATACTCCTGTATGCACCTTAATTATTATTTAAGAGTTTATTTAGTAAATTATCTTTTATTTTTTAGGAAAATAATTTTTAAATTTTAATAGGTTACGTTAGGTTAGTTCTGGTATTATTAGATTTTTTATTCTATTTTAGAAAAATAAGGAAAAAAATGTAAAATTATATACTACTACATAGATGTTTACTTAATTATTAGAAAAAAAATTCAGAATGCAAATATCGAATTACTGGGTAGAATTCACAATAACTGGGCGAATTAATTTTTTATATATGATAAAAATAGAATTTAAAATTGAACAATTATATACATTGTCAAATAAACAACTTACGAAATATTAAATGTGCGGTCTACATTTGACAGTGTCATGTTTTATAAATGATTAAACAGTTAATTAAGACATTGTCTAAAAGACAATTCCTACCTCAAGTATTTTTTTTAAATTAACTATACATTCAAATAATAAAAATAAATTAACACGATAACCTTAAAAAGCAGTTTAATCACTAAATTAATATGATCATACTGAATCATACAGCGTGAAATTTGCCATATTTGAATAAAATGAATTCTACAAATTTTCTCTTACTCTATACAAAATTCTTTGTTCATTTCCTTATCAAACCGTTACTTTAATAGTTGAAAATAAAACGTTTAAAAATACAATAAAAATTTTTTGTAAAAGAAAAGATTAAATTTATAAGAGAATTTATTAAGAGAAATGGATTGACATTCTATAAACCTTATAAATATTTGTATGGTAAGATTGATAAAATTATTTAGGGATATTAAAAAAAATTTTAGAAAACGAATGACAACGACCTACTTTGTTTGTCACGGTTTACACTCAGCAATTTACAGTTATTTAAAAGTGCAATGTTTACGAAATGGAAAGTAAGAATACCTATATATCTGATTGCAAATTGCAACAAAGGTATTATATTCCTTGTATATATTAGATTTCAAAAAATTTAATAAATCACCAATAAAAATTATAAAAGAAAAATAATTTTTCAAAAATAAAAAAAAATTATGAACTTGAAACGTATTGATTGTTGTGAAATATATATATATATATATATATGAATGCAAAAAAATACTTTAAACAGAAAATTTAAAAATGTGCATACAATATTTATTAGATACTATTTAAAAGATGATTATGTAACTTTAATTCATTTGCCAATTTGCGATAGAAAATATTAAATTTAGCAACATAATTTTTATGTACTAAAAGTAAAGTAGAACTCGAAGCTTACATTTCTGCCTCAGGGGATGACGCATTCGGAATTGTTGAGTTTATTGTTGGAATTTCATTTAACACTTCGTCTGCCATGACTTCTTAAAGATAATCACAAAATTTTTAAACCAGCATGCAGAAATTAGAAAGAAATTTGTTTTACTAAATTAATTTTTAGTTACTAGTTAAGAATTAAAATGCACATGTAGCCTGAAAAAAATTGCCACTCGCCACAGAAAAGATGTTATTAGGACAAGATTTTGTCGTGAAAAATTTTCTCTGACTAGAATGTCCTTTTGGGTTACTAGAAAAAGGGTTTTAAAACCTTATATTAATTATCCAACAATTCTACAAAAGTGCGAATAAATTATACACTAATTTCACACGAGTTGTAATTTATTAAGTGCGAAATATTTTAATTTAACTGTGTACTAATGACTTTTAATATGTCACTAAAAATGTGCACAATGCAAAAGATGCAAAACATTTGCAATTCATACATAACCTAAAAATTTCCTACCAGTCGGTAGCTATTGATTTTACCGACGTATTCAGACGTCACACTGGATATTTTTTACCGGGAAAATATAAAATGTTTGATGGGATTAAAAAGTTATTTATTTTAAATAGAAAATGCAATTAATAATTTCAGTAATTATCCGAAAATACATTCTCTATAAGAAAATAAGAGGTTCTTATTTTATTTAAATTGAGGTTTGTCATTGTCTCGAAGTGACGTCACGATATCAGGCTCAAAGAAAATCATAACCTAAAATTCAATCAAAAACGTCGAAAGGTGACAGAAGTGTATTGCTCAAGATCTTTTTTAAAATAAATTCCTTTATTGTAGCAATTAAAATCTATTGTTCTGTGATAACTGTTTTATAAATATGTATCAACTGTAATAATACATCTAGCCAAAAGAATTGGTTTTAATTCTTGAAAAAAATCAGAAATAATGGGACCTCCAAAAAGATTCAAGAAAGACACATCAGGTAAATAAGTTAAAAATTCATATCTTTCATACTTATTTAAACAATTTGTCATACATTGTATTATTTATATATTAATATTACATAATTGAAATTTTTATAACCTAAAAAGTTAGAAAATTCCAATGAATTGAAATGATCAATTTTTGCCAACATAATTGACATAATTTTTTTTACTCGTATTAGACAAGCGTTTTGCAAAAAAGGCTAAAGATGATTTTGAGGATTATATCGAAGAAGAAACGGCAGATGGAGGAGAACCGGAAGGAATTCCTTCAGCAGCCACTGTTGATATAGAAAAAAGTGGAACTATTGTTGAAGATGAATTTGGAGCAAAAGATTATCGTTCGCTAATGAGTCTAAAATCAGATCATGAATCAAGGGCCTTATGGGTTGTAAGTAGAGAATTTATCAATTATTTAATTTTTTATTTTTAAATATTTAAAATTGATGTATTTAAATATATAATACTGATAGAATGTTTCATTTTTCTGCGATATTATTTTAATGATAAAATTATGTACCAGCAACAATAGAAACGTTTTATTTGTTATTGATTAATTAAATAATTATTTTTCTTGATTTTAGGCACCAAACGGACATATCTTTTTAGAATCATTTTCTCCAGTTTATAAACAAGCTCAAGATTTTTTAGTCGCAATTGCTGAACCTGTGTCACGTCCCAAATATATTCACGAGGTTAGTTATTTTTGTTTTCAGTTAACCATTATCATCATTTTTCAGAAAATACTGTATATAATAATACAGAGATTCCGTCCCAATTACTTAAAGTAATTAATTGAAAAATAATAAACATTTTTTTACAGTACAAATTGACGGCTTATTCTCTTTATGCAGCTGTTAGTGTTGGTCTTCAAACACACGATATTATTGAATATCTTGATAAATTGAGTAAAACAAGTATTCCCGATGGAATTGTTGAATTTATCAAAATGTGTACATTGTCTTATGGAAAGGTTAGGTTCAGTCTTGTTAATAAATAAACAATTAATGTAATAATAAAATTAGTAAATTAATTATTAATATAAATATTTGATGCCAAGGTCTATTTATTATTTTTAATAATAATAAGAAGAAAATGGTTTATTAAAAATTAATTTTCTGAAGAAATTTTGTTTTTTTTCAGGTCAAATTGGTTTTGAAGCATAACAAATATTTCATAGAATCTGCATTTCCAGAAGTTTTACAGACGTTATTAAAGGATCGAACTATTCAAGACTGCAGAATCACGCGTAGTGTTGACGATGTTGATAAAGATGGTCTAATAACGTGTATTCAAGAGAAATCTGAGGCCTTACAGGTACTTATATATATATAATTTGAAAATTAGTTGTTCATTTTTGTATAATTTAAAAATAATTTTATAATTTTTAATTATTTCAATAGTAATTCATAATTACTATTTACTAATTTACAATTAGTATTAAAATTTAATTTACAATTTACAAATATTAACAAATTTGACAATAATTATCAAATTCAAAGAAATTTTAAAATAGAAAATTTAAAGTGAATTGTTAGAGTAATTTTGAAAAATTTTAGTTTGGATCGAAACCAGCAACAACAGCAGCAACAACAACAACAGCAACTGAGACATCTAGTTCTAGTAAAACAGTTCCTGATGAAATAGCAACGGTTTATGAAAAAATTGATAAGGAAGATGAAGACGAGGAGGAAGAACAGCAATTAAAAACTATAAGTTTTGAAGTTAATCAAGTAAGTTAATTTTTTAAAATAAAATCTAAAAGTGCAATTTTGACAACATGTAAATAAATAAAAACAAAATTAATTTCAGGAAAAAATTGAAGTAATACAAAAAAGATGTATAGAATTAGATCATCCGTTATTAGCCGAATATGATTTTAGAAACGACACACATAATCCAAATATAAAGTATGTAAATTTTTGTTTACTGTCTCTCAAATTTATTTTATTGAATTAGTAAGACTAAATAATTTTCAGCATTGATCTGAAACCATCGGCAGTGTTGAGGCCATATCAGGAAAAAAGTTTGCGTAAAATGTTTGGCAATGGTCGAGCAAGATCCGGAGTCATTGTTCTGCCTTGTGGTAAATATTTTGAAAAAAATTAATTTTCTTAATATATATATTATAAATATTAAATTCTATATATTTTGTTTTTATTTTACGAAAAAACAAAATTTAATTGTAATTTATGAAAAGGACGAAATTAATGTTTTTATTTGTTTACATAGGTGCCGGTAAAAGTTTAGTTGGAGTAACTGCCTGTTGTACAGTTAGAAAACGAGCTTTGGTCCTTTGTAATTCGGGTGTTTCCGTTGAACAATGGAAGCAACAATTTAAAATGTGGTCAACTGCTGATGATTCAATGATTTGTCGATTCACTAGTGAAGCCAAAGACAAACCAATGGGCTGTGGAATTTTAATCACCACATATTCTATGATTACACACACTCAAAAACGTTCATGGGAAGCTGAACAAACGATGAAATGGCTCCAAGATCAAGAATGGGGAATAATGGTTTTAGATGGTAATTAAATTTTTCTCTATCAAAAAAATCATTATTTATCAATTTAAACTTTTTTTGAAATATATTTAATCGCAAATTAAATTAATTTAAAAAAAATATATATATCCGATTTTGATAATTTTTTGAATTTTTCAGAGTTGTAAAATTTTTTAAATTTTGAAGAAAATAATTTTATTTGAAAAATTATTATTTAATTCTAATTTTTAATTTTTGTCTTTAATTTATAGAGGTTCACTCGATACCAGCGAAAATGTTTAGAAGAGTATTAACATTGGTTCAGTCACATTGCAAATTGGGATTAACAGCAACTCTGTTGCGTGAGGATGATAAAATTGCAGACCTTAATTTTTTAATTGGCCCTAAACTGTATGAGGCTAATTGGTTGGAATTGCAGAAACGAGGATTTATTGCAAGAGTTCAATGTGCTGAGGTTTGGTGTCCAATGACTGCGGAATTTTATCGTGAATACCTCAATTGCAAAATGTCGAGAAAATTGGTGTGTTGATATTTGAAATTTTTAAGTTAAATAACGAATTTTTAATTTCAATTAATATTTATTTCACTGTTATTTTTATTTTTTATATAATAATTTTTTATTTTATTTTTATTTGTATTTTAATTTTATTTTCAGCTATTGTACGTAATGAATCCAAATAAATTTCGATACTGTCAATATCTTATAAGATATCACGAAAGACGTGGAGATAAGACTATTGTCTTCTCAGATAATGTTTTTGCTCTAAAACATTATGCTAAAGAAATGCAGAGACCTTTTATTTACGGTCCAACTAGTCAGGTAAATTTTTCATCTTTTTAAATTTGTTTTTTGATGACATAGAACAAAATAGAAAAAATAACTTATGAATTATTTTTGTTGTATTAGTTTTTTTCTAAGTAGAAATTTTTTTTACTTTTTTAGAGTGAAAGGATACAAATTCTGCAAAATTTCAAGTATAACATAAAGGTGAACACAATCTTTGTGAGTAAAGTTGCAGATACATCTTTTGATTTGCCTGAAGCAAATGTTTTGATTCAAATTTCATCGCACGGTGGATCTAGACGACAAGAAGCTCAAAGATTGGGTAGAATTTTAAGAGCAAAAAAAGGTAATTAATTTTTTGTTTTCTTTATTTTGCTTCCTCGTGGAGGAAGCTTTGTAGTCCTTTCGTTTATAAAACTTTTCAAAGTGGCGGAAACAAATTTTTTTCTTTATAGAAACATGTTATATGAGATCCTGATCAATTGTCCGGATGTATGTATGTGTGTGTGTGGATCCCTTTTTTGTTTATAAGATAACTTTAACAGGTTTTAATGGATTTAGATAAAATTTGGTACGCTCATTTATCATATTAATATCTCAAATCTGACCAAAGGATTTTGAAAAATACCCAAAAAAAAAAATTTTATCGTCTTTTTTCCAAAAATTTTTTTTAACCGAAAATCTTTAAATATAAAAATTTAAGGTTATAAATAATAAAATCGTATTCCTTACGTCAAGATAAATCGATAGATATATATAAAGTATACATTTGAGGTAAATTTAAAGAATTAATGAAAGTTAAAAAATCAAAAATTCAGATTTTGGCAATAAAATTTTGCTTTCTCCACGAGGAAGCAAATTTTTTTGCTGATCGTAAAGAGGAAGCAAAATTTTCATATAATGAACATCTGAATTTACAACTTGTTTTTGGTGGTATTCCGAATCGATTATCTCGCAAACTTAATTTTACGAAAATTTTTACAAAATATTTTTGAGTGTAGCTCAGCATCCGCTGGACCAATCAAAAGGTGGGCCATACATTTTCTGTTCGATACTTTTTGACTATTTTTTTGGCGGTATTCCGGCGCGCTTATCTCGAAAATTTTTCAGAATTTTAATTAAGTGTAGCTCAGCATTCGCTAGACCAATTAAAAAGTGCGCCATACATTTTTCGTTCGAAACTTTTTCCCTATTTTAGTGGTGGTATTCCGAATCGATTATCTCGTGAATTTAATTTTACGAAAATTTTTCCAAAATATTTTTGAGTGTAGCTCAGCATCCGCTGGACCAATCAAAAAGTGCGCCATACATTTTTTGTTCGAAACTTTCCCTATTTTTGTGGTGGTATTCCGAATCGATTATATCGCGAATTTAATTTTACGAAAATTTTTACAAAATATTTTTGAGTGTAGCTCAGCATCCGCTGGACCAATCAAAAGGTGGGCCATACATTTTCTGTTCGATACTTTTTGACTATTTTTTTGGCGGTATTCCGGCGCGCTTATCTCGAAAATTTAATTTTTCGAAAATTTTTCCAAATTTGTTTTCTAGTGTAGCTCAGCATCCGCTGGTCCAATCAAAAAGTGCGCCATACATTTTTTGTTTGCTACTTTTTGCTAAAGACTTTGGCGGTATTCCCGAACGATTATCTCTAAAATTTAATTTTTCGAAAATTTTTCAAAAATTTATTTGAGTGTAGCTCAGCATCCGCTGGACCAATCAAAAAGTGCGCTATACATTTTTTGTTCAGAACTTTCTTCTAATGACTTTGGCGGTATTCCGGAGCGATTATCTCGCAAATTTAATTTTTCGAAATTTTTTCGGAATTTTATTTAAGTGTATCTCAGCATCCCCTGGACCAATCAAAAAGTGCGCCATACATTTTTTGTTCGAAACTTTTTCCCTATTTTTGTGGTGGTATTCCGGATCAATTATCTCGCGAATTTAATTTTACGAAAATTTTTCCAAAATATTTTTGAGTGTAGCTCAGCATCCGCTGGACCAATCAAAAAGTGCGCCATACATTTTCTGTTGGAAACTTTTTGACTATTTTTTTGGCGGTATTCCGGCGCGCTTATCTCGAAAATTTAATTTTTCGAAAATTTTTCGGAATTTTATTTAAGTGTATCTCAGCATCCGCTGGACCAATCAAAAAGTGCGCTATACATTTTTTGTTCAGAACTTTCTTCTAATGACTTTGGCGGTATTCCGGATGGATTATCTCGCAAATTTAATTTTTTGAAAATTTTTCAAAAATTTATTTGAGTGTAGCTCAGCATCCGCTGGACCAATCAAAAAGTGCGCTATACATTTTTTGTTCAGAACTTTCTTCTAATGACTTTGGCGGTAATCCGGAGCGATTATCTCGCAAATTTAATTTTTCGAAAATTTTTCCAAAATGTTTTTGTGTGTAGCTCAGCATCCCCTGGACCAATCAAAAAGTGCGCCATACATTTTTTGTTCGAAACTTTTTCCCTATTTTTGTGGTGGTATTCGGGATCAATTATCTCTAAAATTTAATTTTTCGAAAATTTTTCAAAAATTTATTTGAGTGTAGCTCAGCATCCGCTGGACCAATCAAAAAGTGCGCTATACATTTTTTGTTCAGAACTTTCTTCTAATGACTTTGGCGGTAATCCGGAGCGATTATCTCGCAAATTTAATTTTTCGAAAATTTTTCCAAAATGTTTTTGTGTGTAGCTCAGCATCCCCTGGACCAATCAAAAAGTGCGCCATACATTTTTTGTTCGAAACTTTTTCCCTATTTTTGTGGTGGTATTCGGGATCAATTATCTCTAAAATTTAATTTTTCGAAAATTTTTCAAAAATTTATTTGAGTGTAGCTCAGCATCCGCTGGACCAATCAAAAAGTGCGCTATACATTTTTTGTTCAGAACTTTCTTCTAATGACTTTGGCGGTAATCCGGAGCGATTATCTCGCAAATTTAATTTTTCGAAAATTTTTCCAAAATGTTTTTGTGTGTAGCTCAGCATCCGCTGGACCAATCAAAAAGTGCGCTATACATTTTTTGTTCAGAACTTTCTTCTAATGACTTTGGCGGTATTCCCGAACGATTATCTCTAAAATTTAATTTTACGAAAATTTTTCCAAAATATTTTTGAGTGTAGCTCAGCATCCGCTGGACCAATCAAAAAGTGCGCCATACATTTTCTGTTGGAAACTTTTTGACTATTTTTTTGGCGGTATTCCGGCGCGCTTATCTCGAAAATTTAATTTTTCGAAATTTTTTCGGAATTTTATTTAAGTGTATCTCAGCATCCCCTGGACCAATCAAAAAGTGCGCCATACATTTTTTGTTCGAAACTTTTTCCCTATTTTTGTGGTGGTATTCCGGATCAATTATCTCTAAAATTTAATTTTTCGAAAATTTTTTAAAAATTTATTTGAGTGTAGCTCAGCATCCGCTGGACCAATCAAAAAGTGCGCTATACATTTTTTGTTCAGAACTTTCTTCTAATGACTTTGGCGGTAATCCGGAGCGATTATCTCGCAAATTTAATTTTTCGAAAATTTTTCCAAAATGTTTTTGTGTGTAGCTCAGCATCCGCTGGACCAATCAAAAAGTGCGCCATACATTTTCTGTTCCAAACTTTTTGACTATTTTGCTTCCTCGTGGAGGAAGCTTTGTAGTCCTTTCGTTTATAAAACTTTTCAAAGTGGCTGAAACAAATTTTTTTCTTTATAGAAACATGTTATATGAGATCCTGATCAATTGTCCGGATGTATGTATGTGTGTGTGTGGATCCCTTTTTTGTTTAGAAGATAACTTTAAGAGGTTTTAATGGATTTAGATAATATGTGGTACGCTCATTTATCATATTAATATCTCAAATCTGACCAAAGGATTTTGAAAAATACCCAAAAAAAAAAATTTTATCGTCTTTTTTCCAAAAATTTTTTTTAACCGAAAATCTTTAAATATAAAAATTTAAGGTTATAAATAATAAAATCGTATTCCTTACGTCAAGATGAATCGATAGATATATATAAAGTATACATTTGAGGTAAATTTAAAGAATTAATGAAAGTTAAAAAATCAAAAATTCACATTTTGGCAATAAAATTTTGTTTTCTCCACTAGGAAGCAAATTTTTTTGCTGATCGTAAAGGGGAAGCAAAATGTTTATGTAATGAACATCTGTATTTACAACTTGTTTTAATTGTTTTTGTGGATCAATTTTATATATGTTTTATCGGTAATTGCAGGAGCGATAGCTGAAGACTATAATGCCTTCTTTTATACGCTAGTTTCTCAAGATACATTTGAAATGGATTATTCTAGAAGACGACAACAATTTTTAGTAAATCAGGGTTATGCGTATAAAGTCATCACAAAATTAGCCGGAATGGACGATGTCAGTATTATTTTTTATATATTATATATTATATTATATTATTTATTTATTTTATCTAATTTTTTTATTTTTTTTTTAGGAGCCAGATTTATTTTATAAAACACGAGAGGAACAAATGCAATTGTTGCAGAAAGTTTTATCAGCCAGTGATATGGACGCTGATGAAGAAAGAATTCCAGGAGAAGGAGGACGTTCTGTAAGTATATAATAATATTTTCTTATCACATTTAAAGAATTTTTTTTCAAAATTTATATTTATGTTTTATTCTCACTTCTAGATTGTTCGCAAAGCTGGAAATATGGCGTCAACCTCTGGAGCAGATGATGCTGTTTATTATGAATATAAAAAATTGAATGCTAATTCACAAAATAGTAAACATCCTCTATTTAAGAAATATAGAAATTAAATTGTTCAATGTAAGTTTTATAATTTTGTTTCATATACTATATAATACTTTAGTTCAATTTGTGAATAAATAATATTACTTAGAACAATTTTTTCATCAAAAGAATATCAAGTAATATTTCTTATTTAAATATATATATACAGTGTATATTCTTCATAAATTTCCGCAATATTTGTTACTGTTTTAATAATTTTTTCATTTTCGCGAATTTCGTATCGCAAAAATTTTTTGTTCTAGAGTTTTGTTTAGAATATTGAATTTATTCGATTACATTTGTAAACAAACATTTTGTTATATCCAATTAAGAATAGAATATATTTATATTACTGATACGTTTTACCGACAGCTGATCATAGAGGAATCTACTTTAACTTCACTCGACAAGGAAGGGATACAAAAGGTATGTTTTCATAACTACTTATGTAAAAATCTATTTTATCTTCAGTCGGTGCCACAATTCTGATCGATTGTGTATTCTATCTCCACTGTAAAACGAAAGGTATTAATTTAATACCGACTTTAGGTATTGAATTTGTTTCTATCTTGATAACTAAAATCGGTACTATTTGAGTACTTTTTTTTACAGTGTTTACTGGTAGGGGAAAAAAGGCAAATATTTTATTGATTTGCTGAACATTTGGAAAGTTAGCTTATTTTCAGTAGGTATGGAAGATAAAACGAAAGATATGCTTTAGCGACCGATGGTAAGATAGGAATCTACCTTATCTTCAGTCGGTAAAGAAGATTTAAATCAAAATATCCAACTACTACATAGACTGAGAGATTAACTTTAAACTGAATTAAGATTTAAATTCTATATAGGGCAGGTTTTCAAAAATAAAAAAAGAAGTATTGTTATTTCGAGCTTACAAAGGACTTGTTCACAGGAAGTGAAAGAAGATAATATATAAATATATACAATATAGGAAAGCAATTGTTGTTGTACAACGTATAAAGTATACATATTTTGAAGTGTGCAAACTCGTGATAGTTGATGTTATCTGATAGCGTGCTCTGGATGAAAATTGCTGATTCGTGATTTGAAAAGGGTCAGAGTATAGAGAGAGAGAGAGAGAGAGAGAGAGAGAGAGAGAGAGAGAGAGAGAGAGAGAGAGAGAGAGAGAGAGAGAGAGAGAGAGAGAGAGAGAGAGAGAGAGAGAGAGAGAGCGAGAAAGGGAAGGGTTGTATGTGTCGTTGAAGCTTGGAGACGAAGAGTAAGCAGAAGCAAAACAGCAACAGAAAACTAGGCCAGCCGAGTGGCAAGACTGCGACTAAAGCTCTCAAAGTATGGCATGTACACACAAAACCATTTTGTGAATGATAGTTTCCGCAATAAAGTTTTGGACCCCCCCATCCCCCCCATAGAAAAAAATTTATTTGATTCAAATATTCGATTAGTTAACTAATATCAAATAATTATTATTTGCGATAGTATTTGTTTCAAATACAGAAATTATTAGTTCAAATACAATATAATCAAAATGTACTGGACCAAAAAAATAATTTTTTTCTCCTAAATTTAGAAATGTAACAACTTGCGAATATTTGACACAAAATTGGAATTAAATAAGTGTCGATTTGAAAAAAAAAAATTTTTTTCGTGGGAGTCCGGTAGATTTTTTGATCACCCTGTATGTTTTTCCTTATTGCGAGATAGTGCAACATTAATATTATTTCTATATATCGATGTCCCTGCGGTACCGTAAACCGTAAATGTAGACACGAATTGCTCTAATTTCCCTCGTCGCTTGGCTTGAAATTCTCGGGTGCCAACGTATGTGTCGCGCGCGCTCGGTGAGAATATATGGACTTTCGATGAGGTTGTGTCCTCATTTAAAAACCGCATTTGGGAAAAGTACAAAGAGGATGGAATATAAGTGTCTCTCTTGTCTCTTGAGTTTTCCACCAGATTCATAAAGCATTCGTCAATTCTCATATATATACTATCACTTTCCGTTTTTATCGTCGTTCAATATAAAATGTTATACGAGAAGTATTTATGATTTTTGATTAATTTTATCTAGATTTTTTTATGGATAGCAGAATTTTTCAAATGGATTATTTTAAAATTAAAAAATTTAATTTTTAACCAAAAACCTCTTTTTATTTTTTTTTATTAATATAAATTAATTTAAAAAAATGTTGCTCTTTTATCAACAAATTGCAATTATTATTCACAAAGGACTTGTTAAATATTCTGAAACTTATTTTATGTAAAATATTTGCGGGATAAGAGAATTTATGTTAAACGACCCTCTTATATTTGAATAACAATCAGATTTACACGGAGATGGAGGTCAAATATTACTATAGAGAGGATTATGATTTATATTTTATTCGTTCAATTTATTTATCAAGATTTTTTTCAAACTTCTTTAAAGCATATTCTTGTATTTTTTCTGTTTCTCACGAATTTCATGTAATTTTTACAAAAATTCATACATGTAGACTATATGTGGACGTCCGTATGAAAAGGGACAACATTGCCATTAATCTGGATTAAATTTTGAACATTTTGAGAGTTTGTAGAGATATTTAGGTAAAAATTTAGCAATGTCATTAGACATTTAAAATTAGAAGTGTCATAAACCTGGTTTTGAGAAAAACGAGTTTTAAAGTTCAAACCTATTATTATAGCTCCATGCTAATTAAAAAATAAAAAAAAAATTATTACCTATTTTTAATTACGAAAAAATTGTGTTTGAGAAAATTGCATTAAAAAAATACTTAGTTTTCTATATTAGACGACATTATGTCTGATTAACATTGATTTATACTACTGATAAAATCATAATTTAGAAAAACTGACTAAATATTGACATATACTATACTAGAAAAATTATAAGTTAAAAAGTCTGACTAAATTTTGACTTTTACTTCTGATAAAATAACACAAAAAAAGATGTCTGACTATATATTTACTTATACTACTTATGTTTTAATTAAATCACCATGTCTGACTTAAATTTACTTGTACTACTTATTTCCTTATTAATTCATTATGCCTGGGTAAATTTACTTATATTACTGAAAAATTACGAATATTTAGAAAGACTGGCTAAACATTTACTTTTACTACTGATATTACAAAAAATTGAGAAGGATTAACTAGATATTTACTTTTCTTATTAATAAAATTTAAAAAAAAAACTAAAAGGTCTGACCTGATATTTTCTTACACTACTTATTTTCTAATTTATTCAATTAATTATATTTCATTAAATAGTTATTAGATTTTTTTTAATATAATATGTAAATATTATTTTTCATCTAAGTTTCTCCCAATGTTTTATATGAAATTATTTTTTCGAATCCTGATTTCTCGTCTGCTAATTCGCCATTTTGTCTTTTATAATACAGGTTGAGCGCAATGGTATATGTATACCTAATATGTTTGAGGTCAATGTATCCATTTGATTGCCATCCAAATGATATATAGTTTGAGTTTAATTTATTTTAGGGATTCGTTTTTGGCAAAGGTTCTCAAAGCGCTTATCGTTACTGTAGATTATGCATTGCATCAGCTGCAAGTCAGGAAACGTTTTATGGTCGTGTAATGGCTTTAAATGCTGCCGCATTGCCGATACCTATTCGAAAGTCAGTGTTCCCTGTGTGGAGGCCTGTCGACCCGCGTGTTAGAGGTGGACGACTTATCGACCTGCCAACAAGCAACTAAACCACCCTTACCCCCCCTCTCTCACGAGTCTCGAGACGTACAACCCTGGTACCTAGCTGCACCGACTGCCCTTTTTTTTATCAGCACCTTCTCTTATATACTCCCGCGTTCACACAATGAACTTCACTCTCGGAATCAAGAGGGTGGTGGCAAAAAAAAAGAAGAAAAAAAATGTGAGAACGGGATTTCTCTGACGAAAGACCTGAAAACCAGATGACAAGGCTGAGGACCATCATCCGGGCACTTCACTTCCGGTGGAGAGGATCTGTGTCGAGCTTTTATGTATCTGAATTCATAAAAATGAAACTACCCTCGAGAAAACTGGTTATGACGAACGTGATCAGGATTTTAAATTGTATTTTTCACATATTATATATATGTATATACCTTCAACCTTTCGGCGAATCGCAAAAGTGCAAGAATATCGAAATCTAAGAAAAAGCATTTTCTTTTTTCATTATGTGACAAATTAAAATAATTTACTACACCCAGAAAAAAGATTTCTTTGTTTCAAACAAATTATCTTTGATTCAAAAAAATTATCTTCGTTTCAAAGAAATTTTTAATTTAATTCAAATAAATGTTTCTTTGACCCTATATCAATGTTTTGAATTTATGTTTTGTTGGTTTTTACTGGATTAGTTCTTTCTTGTACATTATATCTCATTAAGTCTTAATTTTTTCCTATTAGGAAAGAAAACATATCCAAAATAGTTTTCTCAATTGATTTCATTGTTTTGAAACGTGGGATTAGAAGTTTGGAAATTTTTGTCCAAGATTGACAAAAGTTCCTTTTTCACCTCGCTATATTCATCAATACATAAACACAAGAAATTAAATTATACCTCTCTCATACAAGTTGGGGTTGTCAGAAAAACATCCCCTGATCTTTCAAGTTCCTCCTACACATTTTTTCCCAAATTATCTTATAATATCAACTCCTTCGAATTAAACTCTTGAAAATGTTTTCCTGTTCCACAAAAAAAATATTATTTATAAATATTTATACGTTTTGAACGTTTTTTTATAATATAGGAATTTTTTTAAATTTATAATCAATGCTCAATGATTTATTGATAAGATAGAAATTACAGAATGTTATTCTGAATTACATTATGCGGATGATTGCTTCCAAAATTCAACAATCATATACAAAAGTCACATTCTAGAATACGAAATACCATGTACGAAAATTTTGAATCATCAATATGCGTGGTTGCTTCTGACATTTGAAAACGATTATTTTGAATTCACAACATGTAAAATTAGACATTTAATTCTCCCAATGCATTCCCCTGCATATACCTTGGAATAGGAAATGGCAGTTTTCAAT